TGGTCCAAATTTCATTGGAAAAGAATAGGAGGAGTGATTAGGTGAGATATTGTCATGTTCCTGAGTGTTAGAGCTTCTAGGATGAGAGTCATAAAATTTCCTAAGTGACTGATGTATGATTCAATTAATTGTATTAAAATTGGCACAGCCAAACCCCTGGCTAAAAAGCTACAAATTTCCTCAAATAGGCATCCAAGCCGCTGCCCAAAGCTAAAGTCAATGTCATTTTTCTAAAATCTGATCGGTGTAAATCATCCATTTTCATATAGAGATCAACAAACCTCTCCGCAATAGTTTAATCTGAGCTCATATGTTCTTGTTCCCAGGAAAAAAGGCTTTTGGAAATGTTTTGTTTTTCATCCCTCACTGTTAATATCAGCCCTACTGGTTCTTTGTTTGGCTTGTAATAAGAGTCTTTTCAGACCATCAGATTGTCACATAACTTGTAATTTAATAGGTTAGAAAATATGGGTGCAAAGAGTGTATATGATTTTGTGCAGTTGAAATAATTTTTAATAGGAAGTAATTGATTTATTTAACTATTCATTCTAATTACAACTGGAAGCCCAAATTAGTACTTTGCTGTAACGACCGTATCTCTAGCACCAGCGTTATCTTACTTTTCTTTACTCGACATTGACCTTTTTTGTTTGGGTAATCGGAACCGCCAGTTGTGATTCATGTCACAGGAAAGTGAGTACTTCAAATGATCAACGATAACTTGAGATAGCAATAACAAAATAAAAGCATACTGTCCCACCACTTTTGTGCTCTTCGACAGGCCTCTTGCATCCTTCACAAATAACATATACATGCATCGATCGCCTAAAAAATCATGAAGCAAGACTCGAAGTTGATTGCATAATCTTTTGCTTTCAGAAAATCACTACCATCCACACATCACTCAATAATTTTAAGACTTTGACGCTTCCACCGAGGTTACAAAGGGAAAAATGTCAAGAAAGTTTCTCTCAAATACTCGATCCATTGTTGTTTTCTGACGTATTTTCTTTGCATCTCGAGGCAGTCGCTTACCAGCGGTTTCTCATCAAACAAAAATTTACAGAACATGCGCAGACAACTTGCCTCCCTATAACGCACATTAATTCGATCCCACAACGAACTAAGTTGCTTTAATCTATCCAGATTTTCCACAGATTCTTGCTGCACATCATACAGTGAGGTGAATAATTGTTACCTTTTTTTTAAAGAAGTGTTAGTCTTTTAACGGGTCGATTTTCCCAATTGATCCTTCTCATTCTCCATTTATTTAATTCAGTGCTATACGGAAGTGGTATCAGAAAGATCATATGTTGTGTCGAATTGCGGTCGTTCCGCTTGAATGAAACTCCGCCCGAAGTCGACCCGCCCGACGAACAAGCAGTACAACAAATTACAAAGATTAAGCTGTTATTCCACTCGTTTTAATTCTTTTAGTAATTTTTGTAGATAATTGTTGACCGTGTTATCAGAACAATAGCTCATTCACCCGCTGGAATACTGAACTTCTTCGGAACTTCTGCGATCAAAATCGAAATCATTTTGTTATGCAATAGACGCATCGAGGCCAGATATTTGAGGCAAAAAGTCATTCGTGAAGTCAATTGAATAAAATGTCTGGTTTTGTACGATATTTCACTGAAAATGCAAATACCACGAAAAGCAAGTAATTCTGTCGCGACGCCATTTTAATTTATGCAAATAGTTTTCAATTTGGGAAACAGGTGGCCAATCTCTTTCACTGATACAGTGAAACAAACAACATGCCATTCACGTTCAAGAAAAAATTTTATTCCAACATAGAAATAGAGTGTTCAATTTGTGTTCTGATCTAAAAAACTTGCAAGTTTTAGAGAGAATTGGCAAAATGTTAATGTTGTTTTTTTTTAAGCGCAAGAAAAAATTCGGGCGAATACACTCATTCGCAAATTGCCTGTCTGTCTGCAGTGTTCTTGATGGAAAAATGAGAAACACACTCAAACTTCATACATGAAAACTAATTTTTTCAACGCAAAAGTCGTGGGAATATTAAGGAATAATGTCTGTTTGGAGTGGACGGCATATAAACAGATCAATAAATCGGGCGAAACGTCCATTAGAAAATCTGCGTCCCTTAAAGGTGCTATATTTCCCAATAAACAAGACAAAACAGCAATTGAAGATTGAGAATAAAGTGTTGAGTTTTATATATAATCTAAAAATATTCAAAGTTGTAGAGTTAGCAACAAGTTGACGTTGATTTATAAGCGCGAAAAGTAATCGGGCGGACGAACTCATTCGCAGAGTGCAAGTCAAATTCCAGTGCTCGTGATGGAATAGACGGTCCTTGAGATAAAAGAAAAAGAGAAATACACTCAAACTTGGTTTATAAATTTAACTTTTCTGAATGCAAAAGTCGTGGGAGGATCGAAGAACAACGTTTGTTTGGAGCCGACGGCATGTAAACAGAGCAATAAATCGGGTGGAACGTCCATTAAAAAGTTCGTGTTCGACTTCAGTGTTCATTGAGAAAAGTCTGTGACCCCACTTGAATTAGGAATGTTACTTTGTTCACGTTTCTTGATGCAAAAACTTGATTATAAATGCTTTCATGAATGGTAAGGATTGAATGACGCAATGTCAGAATCAAACTATGTCACAATGCCACATGAACATGCAAGACAGGTCGTCACTTTATGCTAATTATGTACGCAGGAGACATGCAATTGCACCCCGGTTAGATTCATGGCGGTGAAAAAAATTAACAGATACCTTGAAGATGTTCACAAATTTTGCTAAAATACGGGCTCAAGAATGGCATGCCAACTTTGTTTAGGTTATGCTTTTAATGGCAGCCATGCAAACAGTGAACGGAACAAGGTCAGTGTACAACTCAGCAAAAATATGAAACCATTAATGTTGTATTGAAGAAATGTAAAATGGTTCCCGTGTTTACATAGCCTGATGTAAACACGCGGGAACCGACGATAAGCTGGAAACCACTCCGCTTCGCATCGTGGTTTCCTACGCTTATCTCGTGTTCTCCCAACCTCCCGCGTGTTTACATCAGGCTATGTAAACACGGAAACCGTTTTACATTTCTTTTATAAAATAACTAATGAAAGAGGAACGAAAACCGTGTTTACATACGCTCACGTAAAATGGTTTTATGGCCAATCAGAGCGCGCGTACTATTTGAATTATTTTATAATTCGTTATAAAAACTCATAAAACATTTGTTTTATTGAAGATACCATTTTAAAGAACTCTACACAACTCATAGATTAGACGACATAGACATCGGGCGCAATGACTTCGAAGTTCGGGCGCAAAGGTCTCGGGCTGTTTGACTCTCAGTAGGAACGACCAGATACCATTCTTTCCGAGGCATGGGGTTTTGAATCTTTTGAAATTGCATTTAAAGACTTAACAAATGGATTACCAATCAAAATAGTGGAGATAGTTAAGAAAGGGAAAAACAAACATGAAAAAATGAGGCGAAAGTGAACTGGAACAATTTTGTAATTCCATTTGGAGTTCAACGCTTCTTTTATACGTTATGCTGAAGTTGAGGTGTGGCGCCGTATGAGACGGTAAACAAATGCAGCCATTTTTGAAATTCTAATTAAAGGCAGAAATTCATTTTTTGATGGAAGTCTTCCTTGGCGTTGCCGTCCTGACTGCTTAAGATCCTATTACCCTGTTTCCTGCTGTGAATGCATCAAATTGTTTTCTTCGTTGCACAAAGTTCAGACACGCTGAGAAGTTTAGCGCCCTAAATTTATTTTTATCTCTTTTTTGTAGCAAGCAGAGGTAATAGCAGCAAATTATGCTTCGGAAGCTTGCTTGTATATTCTTCTGTAAACAACAAGAACGTAATCATTGCCTGCGGTTTGTCAGGTTTTAAAGTTTCTTAAAGTTTAGATTTTCCCCACAATGTATTTTGTTAAAGTTGTACTGTCGTTATGTAGCTTTTATAATTTTGGAGACTGCGAAGTACTCCAGATCTAACGTCAGTTGATTAAAAGATGCCAACTGGTATGTCAAAATGGTGATTTTTTGGAAGTATATTGTTTTTCTGTTGTCGTTTCTTTGTTTTTGTCGATTTTTTTTTTATTATTATTTAATTTAATTTTTTTTATTAAATTGAATTAGTGATCACTTATTAAAATAATGTCTACATGTCATAAGGAGAATTCATCATTGTGGTCTCAGAATTTCGCCGGATCTTTACGGTGTTAAATTCGCTTGGTCAGCTAAGAAATCTAAAAGTCGGAAGGTAGAAGGTCATTAAAATCTTCATGCCCACCCTCTGTACATAATTTTTTTATTCGCCTTGCCTTGCCTCATAGGATTCATTGGACACCTGCCAAATCATATCTCCCTCTCCTTCCTCCCCAACCTCTCAGAAATCCGACATTATAACATTCATTTTTTTAATAAAAGAAATAAGAATCAGAGACATTGTTTGTTCTTGAGTATAAATAAGCCATTTTTATAACTCTTTTTAAGCTCTGAACTGTGAAACTGGTATGAAAAAGTTATAACTTTGCATTTCAGTATTCACTGTAGTAGCTACGGTGGCTGCCGCGGCTGTGGGGTTAGCAAGTGTTGTATTCGTAGCTGTGTAGGGTGATGGTGAGTAAAATCTTTAATCTTTCCTTATAAGGAAACGAGCAGTAGATGTATGGAGGTACTAAAGGCCGCTGTCAAGTTAGTATTGCAGCTCTTGGCTAACAAATCGTAAATTCTATTTTTTTCTTCTTTGATGTAACTTTTTACAAAACGGGTCAAAAAAATTGAATGCAGTAATTAGGATTATAGAATTATCTCCTTACACGTGTGGATATCGGAATCACAGGGAAGCAGGTATTGTTGTCATGCTTTTTTCAGTAAAGCCGGCGAAAAAAGGAGGAAGTGAAAGTCAAAAATAAAGCGCTGCAGGTATAGACAGTTAATCGTGCAACAATATTTTCAAAAGTATGACAGCGCCTTTTATCGAATTATGGTAGACGTGTATGATGTGTAACCACGCCTCTTCTCCTGGAAATGAAGTAATAATTGGATGTATCTTTCCCCAGGGAGTGAAGAGTTCGCGACAGAGAGAAAATGGATATCGAAATCACAGGGAAGCAGGTATTGTTGTCATGCTTTTTTTCAGAAGAGCCGGCGAAAAATAAAGGAAGTGAAAGTCACAAATAAAGCGCTGCAGGTATAAACAGTTAATCGTGCAACAATGTTTCCAAAAGTATGACAGTGTCTTTTATCGAATTATGGTAGAGGTTTCTGTGTAACCACGCCTCTTCTCTCGGAAATAAAGAAATAATTAAATGTATTTTTCCCCAGGGAGTGGAGGGACGAGTTTGCGGCAGAGTGAAAATGGAAATCCGAATCACAGGGAAGAAGGTATTGTTGTCATGCTTTTTTTCAGAAGAGCCGACGCAAAATAAAGGAAGTGAAAGTCACAAATAAAGCGCTGCAGGTATAAACAGTTAATCGTGCAACAATATTTTCAAAAGTATGACAGTGCCTTTTATCGAATTATGGTAGACGTTTCTGTGTAACTACGCCTCTTCTCCTGGAAATGAAGAAATAATTGAACGTGTTTTTCTGCAGGGAGTGGAGGGACGAGTTTGCTGCAGAGACTAAATGGAAATGTGAATCACAGGGAAGCAGGTATTGTTGTCATGCTTTTTTTCAGAAGAGCCGGCGAAAAATAGAGGAAGTGAAAGTCATAGATAAAGCGCTGCAGGTAAAAACAGTTAATCGTGCAACAATATTTTCAAAAGTATGACAGAGTCTTTTATCGAATTATCGTAGAGGTTCTGTGTAACCACGCCTTTTCTCTAGGAAATAAAGAAATAATTAAATGTATTTTTCTGCAGGGAGTGGAGGGACGAGTTTGCGGCAGAGAGAAAATGGACGTCTGAATAACAGGGAAGAAGGTATTGTTGTTATGCTTATCTGAAGCAAGTAAATTTGAACTATCTGCGATATGCCGATCAAGATAGATCGATCAAGAACTACTCAGACACATACCACACTTGTGGCAGCTTTGTTCCTAGATCCTTGCAAAAAGTGCTTCGGTTCTCTATGTAACCCTCTAAGCTGACCGTCAGGGTCAACATGCAGAAAAAGGGGCCTACGGATAAGAGTTCTTCTCAGAGAAGACTAAAATGTCCAACCATCCACGGTTTCCGCTCAAAAGCAGCACACTCTCCTCAGTTATATGATGAAGCTGAGTGTTGGTCTGACTAGGGTTCCTATCTTTGACGGTCTTCATAGTAGTCTGACGCTTTAAAAATTGATCGAACCAGGTGGAAGTTAAAAGTAGAACACATTTACAATGAATTCAGGGGAATAATGGTATCTGTGTCCAGGAATCGTTTAAAATTTCAAGGCAGTGTTAAAATTTTGTATACGAATGTTCTTTCGGAATTATGAGAACAACTTGCATTTCAAACTATTCCCAAATAACTACGGGAAGAGTTTCCAGAACCGAAAGAAGACTCACACATGAAATTTTCCTTTTTACACTCACTGGTGTGAGCCCATCGTTTACTTTCTTAAGGTCTGTACGCTGATTTGTTAAGACTCTACATGAAAACTCATTCCTTAACGAATGAAGTGAAATTTCAGTCCCCTCATGAATAATTTTGAAGCACTGTATATAATTTAACTAGCTTTAAATTGCAATTCTTTCTTTGTTAATTCCATTCAGGTAGTGTCAGCTAACTAAGTACAGATATACAAGCATTAGAATGTGGAAGTAATTATTTGGCGGTTGTATTTCAGTAAATCAATAGTGCCTATACTTGGCACTTTACTGGAACTTTGATCTGCAAATCATTTTTACAGGTGTTAGTAAAACCAGAACACGAGAAGACGAGAAGAGAGCCAGGGAAAGAGAAGGAGAAAGTAATTAACACTATAAGAAATGGGCCTAAGTATTACACTTAATTCAACTGAACTATGGTGAATTATGGTAATAGTTCCTACATCGTAAACATAAGATTGCTTGATTTTATGTTCCCTTTTAAGCTTCAGCATGGCTTCATATGAAGTCACAAATACTGAAGAATAACAGTTCCTGTTCTTAATTTTCAAATCCCTTGAAATGAAGTAATATTTTCTTATTACCATTCACAAACCGCAGCCTCATCCCTTCCTGGTGATAGCGAGTCTACACCATACCTCTGGCAGTTCAAAGAAGCAGATTCTTATCCTTGGAAAAATTTCGGCCCCTCTGACAATTTTGTTCTGGAAGAGCTTTACTGCGACGTGAACAATGTGGAGGTTGAAATAGAACTTGAAGACACCACAATAAGGTGAATATGTATTTATTCTTAAACAATAGGGGAAACGTAGCTCATCAAAAGTACAATTTTTAATACCTTTGGCCAGAAACTTTGGTAACTTTAAGATTACAGAAAACATCCAACTTGAAAATGATATATACGGTGACCATAGATCACCGAAATGTTCGGCCGTTTGATTTGTTTTCTTGAGGGTACAGAGCGGGTTCGTTTAGAGAAGAATACTGGCAAAATGAATGCCACAGATGCTCTACAGAAGCCAGTCAATTTTTCGACAAAACTTTTATATCTGTAAAACACTTCAGTAACTTCCCGTACGTTTTATCTCATGCAATACTTTAACATGTGTCAAGGCCTCAGTTAGTTATTATCATTCGGCAGCGTGATTGTCTTAGCGACGCAGAATGAGACGAGGGGAAACGGAAAAAGATTGGAACCAGTTGTACTGAAGTACCGCAGTCTGCAGTCTGCAGTCTTATCCGCTAAAATGCGTGGGCCTCACCACTTGTGATGCAGCGCCAATTTGAGCCTGCAAGCAGATCAATGGCGCCGCAGCTCACTAACACATCGTTTGGAACAGGCTAACGCATTGTCACTACTTTTCGTTTCTATTCAGACATTCAAGAAAGTTATCAAGAAAGCTGTCAGCCAATTTTCACACAATATCCATGAGCTTGTTCTCCCCCCTTAACCACTTTTTGATCCGTCGACGCTCAACACCGTCTTACATCAAAGAACGCGGCAACAAGTTTCCTACACTGTGGGTTTGGTATTGGGAAGACATCGATGGATGGAAAAAATATGCCGAAACAAATGTAAGTAGAGGGTCTCAATGGGGTGATGGCGTTAACGGCTAACGGTTAAAATTTTGACCAATTTACGGCTAACGGTTACCATTTTTCCGTTGTCTCCACCAGACATATTTTTTACGGTTCATTTTCTTTACGACCAACGGTTAAATTTTGTCAATTTTTACGCTCAACGGCTAAATTTTTGGCCGTTTTATGGCTAACGGTTAACTAGATACGAGATACATGTTTCTGGTAATTTTTCGTAGCGGTAACTGTTACGGAAAGATGTGGTCAGGCAATGGCCCGGCTTGGTATACTTCTTTCGTAATTTGCTTTAATTGTATATTTTGTATCGCAGTGAAATTTCACGGCCGAGAATTATGTTTACTTTGATGAAATATGTATATATATGTTGCAATAGGGGAAAAAAAACAGAGTAACTATCACCGCCTTTCATCCCTACAAGTCTGTTTCTTGATTGCTCACTCATCAGGGGATTTTATGAGTGAGCAATCACGAAACAGGCTTGTAGGGATGAAAGTATGGTCTCTCTGTTTTTCTCCCCTATCGCAACATATATCGCACTCTACTTCTAAGAAGCGAGCACTGTAAAACGGAAAAATAAATACACAGACTTCCTATTTCCCATTCTCCATTGTGCAAATTATATATATATATATATGTATATATATATATATATATATATATATATATATGATTATATATGTATATAATTATATATTTAACAAATAAAGAAGCCTTGGCTGTGCTCTGTTCTGTTATAAAGCAAAGAACGAAAGAAGTGTAGGGAGAAACACGAGACGTAGTCGAGTGGTTCTTCCCACTTCTTGAGTGCTCTAGCCGCTTCCTAAGTGCTTTATAACAGAACAGAGCACAGTCAAGGCTTCTCTATTTGTTTTATAATAAAGAATCCGTTAAATTACCCAAGCATTACTTTCAATTTTCAAAACAAACTTTATTTCCAAAGCGAACAACAATGTCGTCAGCATGCTCTATACTCTCATAGAGCACGCTACAATAAGCCAATCAGAATCCCTGTTAGAATGGTTCAAATAATCTGATTGGTTCTACAAGACAAAAGCTGTCAAAAGTGTCAAACCATCAAAGTTCAAAAACCATCAAAGTTCACAATCTGCGATAGTTTACAAACTAAAATAGTTCGGCAGGTCGATTTTAACGCTTTTGCCTGAAGTTTTTAATACAGAATCTTCAAGTGAAATGTTCAGTGAACTTCAGCCGAATTATGGCTCATAAAAACACGCGAGTTTTTTCACATGACAAGGTAGAAAACAAACTGTTCAAGGCGAGTGTTTCTTAAATGAACGACTGCCGAATTCACCGGAATATGAAGATCGCTCGTGATGACAGCGCCGCAAAACTCGGCTGCAGTGACTGAAGTGACTTTCTGCTCAACGTATCGGAAAGGATATCAGAGCGAGCTCTTATTTCTGAGGCTTGCTTTACTGTAATGACCGGAGATCGCCATGCTAAGCGAGCCGCGATGGACTTCAGCATGATCATATTTGCTCAGACACCGTCATCATTAGTATGAATTCTAACAGTTATGTCAGTTTGATTATGTTTTTCATAATTTCTGTTTTGTTCTGTTTTGTTTTTGAACTCTGAACTTTATATACTATACGAGTGTTAGCTGTGTTTGATTTTTATTACCGTTCGTAAGCTTGCAATCTAACTGAGCGTGAAAATCATTTAAAACTCGGAATGTCTATTTTGTTTTTCCTTTGAGGATTTTTGTATCTGCTCACGTTTTATTAATATGTAAATTACGGCGCCTGATATGTTTAGAAACCTTTCTTTGGTTCTTCTGTTGCTACATGGCAGCTCTCTTGTTCCGAAATTTCCCTTTCAATTATCGGAAAAAAGCTAAAAAAAAGTCCCGGAAAAGGTCGAACATAGTACAATTTGGCAGATGGCGTGACAGCTTTAGCTCAGTTCTATGCTCTATACTCTCATAGAGCACGCTCTTTCAACCAATGACAGCGCGCAATATATCCGAACTTTATTATAAATATGTTTAACAAATAGACTCCAAGTTGCCGTTCTTCTGTTGAGTAATAGATCACAGATGACGTCAAAATGTGGTAAGAACAAAAAAGTGGCAATGTTTCATACAATAAAGAATTTTAAAAAGATTTAATGATGACGTCATCTATACGTCTGTCCTCCAATAGATCATTAGTGAGAACCAATCAGAATGCGTGCATAACTGAGCTTATTATATAAATATATATATATAATCCCTTACCTTCAATAAGGCAAAGGTACAGACTTTCGTTCGAAAAATAAAAGTTTGACGAACAAGATAAAATAAGCATTGCATATGGTAGCTTAAGATGAAAATAAAAGGAGAAGAGAAATCCTGAGGCTGAGGTTTCATGGTTATGGTTAGTCCAAACTTAAAATCGTAAAACTTCTGTTTTAGCTTTGTTCTGGGGCAAAACAAGAGCAAATTGAAGCATCGTATCTAAATGGAGAACCTGCTTACTACTTTGAAATCGATGGGAACACTTTCGTAATACATTTTGAAGGTACACTTATGAACCAAAGGAGTGTAGATCCAGAAGTCCAAGCGGTTCGGCTTGTCAGAAGAAGACCAATGCCTGCAATGAGGTGAGTGAACACAGACTGCGCTCTAATTAGGAAGGTAACCAACTTTTTTTTTAAAAGTCACTGAAAGAGACACTGCTTCTTTTGTAAGCTGTCCCGGGACAGAACTAGGCTTTCGATTACTGAAAAGCCGAAACACAATAAGGGTGATGATGATGATGACAATGATGATTTTAATAATTGATAGTCTTCATGTGAGTGGATGTTCTGTTCAGCATTGTGGCTTATCCATCAAATCTCCATGAACTCAATTAAAGCAACAGGACCTTCTCAAGACTTTTGCGGCTACAAGCGATACGATATCATTCATTGTTTTCATTCCGCTGACTGAGAATTTGACGCAGGCTGAATTGTTCGCCATTGAAATCCTTGACTTGTTCCTGTATTGATTTTAGTTTATATAATCGTCCTTGACGAAGGGGGTTCGGGAAAAGTGTGTGGGGCATGGAAAATGCTTAATTTGTCAACTTAAGATTCGTTTCTGATAAAAGTTTAGACATCGTACTAAGTAATACCTCGACGCTTTCAATAAGACTCAAGAGCTCTGGATCCCGTCTAACCACACCCATCCATGTTTCCTCGCCTTTGTTATTGTTGCAGCAATCCGAAAGGTCAGGTAATGGCTGTTAAACGGACTGACCTGGAAAAGGACAGCGAAGAATACCGAACTGTGAGTGAGCACTTTCACGAAACAATGCCGGAACACCGCGCCTCTATATTGATGGTGGAAAAAATAACAAATGGTCATTTATTGCAGAAATACGAAAGGTAATTGCTGAGGAAAGGCTAATAGGAGGGAAAAATAATATGCACACCGGAACCTGTTCGTGATTAATTCTGCGTAGTGTAAAAGAGGAGCTTAAGACATGGGCATTAACTAACTAAGTCTTACGGGTTATTTCCGCCGCTTGGATAAAATTTAATCAGTGCGGGCCAAAATAGTGTTGTTTTCGAACGTAGAATGTAATTAGTTAAGCTTTTTTTCTTTTCACTCCTTCATCCAGAAAGTGCCAAGAAATGAGAGAGCAACGTAAACCTATGAATGAAAAGTTTCTGTTCCATGGTACAACGCCAGATGTTGTTGATGCTATCTGCACGCGCAACTTTGACCACAGAGTGTGTGGGAAAAACGGGACAAGGTATGGGCAAGGAAGCTATTTCGCTGTGGACGCATCTTACAGCAATAACTACAGCAACAACTATAGCAAAACTGAGGGTGACAAAACGAGATACATGTTTCTGGTAAAAGTGTTGACTGGAGAATTTATTCGTGCAGAGGAAGACTTTCGTCGACCACCATTGAAGGATCCGAGCAATCTGGCAGGTGATTTGTACGATTCTTGCGTTAACGACGAAAATTTACCGAAGATCTTTGTAATTTTTGATAACGAACAGTGCTATCCTTCGTATTTAATTAAATATCATTTGAAATAGTTTTAGGCATCAAAGTCAGATGCATCAAACTACGGTAGAAAGTCGGTCACAAGCGCATCTATAAATAAAGGGTCTTGATATTAGCAGGCAAGTAAAGAATTTAAAGAAAGCGAGAAAACTTTTGAGTCTGTAAAACATAGTTTTAGATTTACATGGTGTATCAACAACTACACCATGTAAATCTAAAACTGTCTTTTTAATTCTTACACTTTCATGCCTTACCTGTCTTCTTGTTGTCACTTTTCATCTTAATTAGCATTGTTCTACTTACTCTATAATTCAACTTTCAACGCTTTGTACAATAATTAACTGAAGATGACAGAAGTTTCGGTCGAAACATGTTTTACAGACTCAAAAGTTTTGTCGCTTTCTTTAAATTTATAAATAAATAATTAAATAGCTGCCAAAATTACTAGTGGACCTAGAAGTTTACATTGTGAGCCAAAAAGAGAGAGAAAAACAGAGTAATTTATAATTGATTATACAATATAAAAAATATCATCATGAGAAGTCAAGTATTTGAAAAAGTAAAAATAGTTTAAAATAGATAGTTAGCAAAAATTCAGTTAAAAAGGTACCTTAAAGCGTCCTTGTAATGGTAAAGTGTTCGCGACTTGAATTGATGTTTACGAATCTCTTGACCAAATGTTTCCGTTGCTTTCAAAAATCTGTTGCTTTTGATAATCGGATCAGTTCCAGAGAGATCTGGACAACTGTAAGCTCATTTTGAGGAACAGATGATGTCCAAAGACAAATATACGAGCACATTTTGGGGCCAAAACGGGGGCTATTGTGTTTATTATCCTTCACTATTTTTGCAACGCGCAGGAAAAATATTTACGAACAACTCGCTGTTTGCTACTTGAAATGTGTCATTTTTATGTTTCATCTTCTGTAATACCCGTTTTCATCTTGACTTCAATTTTAAGCAAACGCTTTCATCGTAGTTAATGTAAGGTTTGAAAATTGGGGAAAATCTTTTGCTGTATTGCCGCGCTTTAAAGTTGTACGCTCCAAAAGAAATCCATAATTTGCATTTTATTCGAAGTTTGCCGGAAGGAGGTCATACGTTATGGTCTAAACTTTCACACGAGACTTAATGATGGAAAAGGTAATAACGTCTGAGGCCTAGTCTTGTTATAATTTTATTGAAGTTTTATAAACATTTAGTTTTTCTTTTCTTCAGTGGACCCCTCACTAAGGGGCCTGTCAAAATATGTATTTCAATTTTTTTTTTTTATTGTGTAATAACAATAAGTGGTGCGTTGAAGGTTTGGTATACCGATGTCTGAATGTGTGTTAATGATTTGACCATAATTTCCCTACGAAGTAAATGTCAGCTTTTTACGCTCACAAAGTTTCCCATGGCTTATGCGCTGGGATCCAAATCGAGTCGGCAATTAGCACGCAGAAGTCTTTTTCTTCTTAGATCAGTTGAACCCTGCAGTTCTTAGGAGTTAGACTTAAAGAAATTAGGCATATCTCGAAGCATCTTTTCCCCCTTCCTTGAGGCCAATGCCGAACATTTATCCTTTGGCCAGCAGAAATAAAAAACCTACTACACGCGCTAAATCATCTTCCGTATGTTTTAAACGATTAAGGTTTTATTCATTTACGCATGAGTTATAATCTGAAAAAGATTCAAAAGTTGAAACGAATAACAGCAAAAAAAGAGACAATTATCGAGCAAATATCACATCCACCCAAATTAGATGGTGTTGTTTTAAGACGTAACAAAATCATCATTTTTGTTATAAAAAGTCCACAAATTTCAGCAAAATTAAACATATTCTGAGTAGAGGAAGAAATAGAAGATTCTCTTGCAGTTATTTTTTTGTTCGTCCTAAAACAAACTTTCGTTGTTAATTTACAACGGTCTCACGCTAAAAATTCATTTATTTAATGGATTTAACACCATGGTCAGGACTGGCCAACAAATTTGTAACCTTTCGCTTTTTTTTGCTGAGATGGAATCGAAATTCTCTTGCAAGTTATGTGTCCACAAACTGTGTATGGCCGGTAAGGATTACTGCGTTGTGCCGTACTTGTTCCGCCGCTTAATCTTCCAATAAACACCGCATTCCTGCGATTGAGTGCAGCGTTTCTTCGTAGAGGCGTTTAGTCGTAACAGACTTCCATCTGCGGTGCTGTATCGAGTAGATAGAGCAACCAGGACTGTTTCCTGATGGAAAACAGAGCTGGCTGCACGGTAATAAAATTAGGCAAAAGATTTTAGAGCTAGGCGGTAGAATTAAATTTTTTTTACCCGATTTTTTATTTTCTGTAAACATTTGTAAAGTCAGTAATGCATGAAAACGAGGAATAAAGGAGTTCGACCCTTAAAAGGCTCAGTGAATGCACTTTTACATCACATGATCATGCAGGCCTTTTTCCTTTTTTCTTTATTTGTGTTTGTCGAGCTTTTACTTGCTGATGAGCCACTAATTGCACCTGTTTCGTATACATTACAAGATGTGATGGGTTGTTGTTTTGGAATCCCTTGGTGGTTTGTGTGAGAAGTTGTAGGCCTGGATACAAGGTTTGTTCCGGGTTTTGTTTGGGACACAGTTTGCGTGTTATAACTCACGAAAGATTCACTCGATCCCAGCCGAACCACTTAAGTGCTCAAAATTCCCATACCAACTCAGCACAGTATTTAGGCCGAGGCTACCTGCCTGCAACAGAATTAGCTACTCAGCTACCGCTGTATTAAGATTGGGTATTGCTAGCACCAATGCAACTACCTTCTCAAGCAATGTTGGCACAGTTCTCAACTACAATGGACCCACTGCTCGTGGTGGTTATTCTACAGTTTCCCAGGTTACCACGCTGCAACCACCAACAACTACAATGTCAGCATCTCCAACCTCTCAAACGTACCTTGAAGGGATTTTGAAGCAGAAACACACCGGTTATAGTGGTCTAACAAAGGTAAGAATGTCTTTTTCACAGATTATAATAGTCGAAATGATAGAATATGAGATTTCGCTATACTGTACTCGGCAACTGCAATGCAGATTACGTAGTACTTCATACTGACTGAGCGGAAGCCGACCGGACGAAAAATGTTTGGCTCGATCGAAGTCACGACTAACAGACCGTGTACAGTGGACAACAACAAAGAAAACTATGCTACAATGAGAGCTGTTCCTCTATTTCTTCGAGCATGGACAGGAAACTCACAATTCATCAAAAACCACGACTTCCTTTCTCGTTTGTTTTATTTTATGTTCGCATCCAGACTATCAGTTCCCTTATTAGGATGCCAAAGAACCGTGCGGTTGCGGGCCGGTCTTCTACGCGCGTCAGCTTTCATTGAAGCTTTTTCAAGGATTGAGCGTGTAGGTCCGTAAGAGTTATATGATAAGAAATGTTATCTTATAAGCCGTATAGCTCTGTTTGCACTCATATTGAAAAATGGTAAACGAAAATATCCTATGCGGGTCGTATGGGATGACACGAGTTGGCCGGTAAAGGCAGAATGGCCCCGCATGAAACCAGCGAAAAGAAGAAGGAAAAAAAGGAAGAGGCATTGACCTCAAGCTTGTAAGGGCAAATGTTTCCCTTTTCCTCCCTAGCGGCTACTTAATACAAACTATATCTTCGTCGATTTTTCATGAACGGGGACATTGATTGTATATCAAGAAGTCAAGCTACTTATTTTCGAGGAAGCACTGCAGGAGCATCTGGTACTGAATAAATGGGCCGCGATTTTTTTTTTCTTGTTTTTGTCTGTTGTTTGACTTTTTATTTTTTATTTTTTATTGCTTTATTTTTACAGTCAGTTTTTTTGATTTTGAAAGAACCCGAAAAAAGAGTGGTCGAGTCTCCTGTTCCTAACCGGCCAGTCAGTGAGCCATATACACGAGTGACGTTAGAGTCATCTTCATGGGAATTCAAAAAGGTGGAACAACTATTTAAAGCGTCGATGAGTGTTGTGGTGATCGAGAAAATCGACTGCGTACAGAATCCCTTCATGTAGGAAAAGTTTCAAAGTTAGGAAAAAACCTGAGCTCACGAGTATAACAACTCTATACAAAAAATTGTGATGGTCTGAAAAAAGGAGATAAAAGGAAATTCTGCTTAGTTCTGCTCTTCCAATTTGATTTTGTTGAGATTAAGGCGTCAAATTAAAGGGGGCTCTAAAAATACTCAGGTTAATTAAGGCCTGGGTCACCCTGTCTTTAACCCATATTTTCAGAAAATTTAGAATAACTTAGCTATTTTGCGAGGGATTTTTCTCATACTTGGCAGAAATGTGTATCACTACCATCTCTCTTGGACTGAATTGTGGCAGCGTAATATGACACTCTCAACAGCCAAAAACAGTTAATTTAGGCGCCAAATTCGTCGGTTGCTTTCTTGAGCAAATTCCCACCACTAAACACAAGCCAAATCAAAATGCAGTTATCGCTATGAATATTTGAGACGTTTTCCATTGTTTTCCCACTTGGAATGGCTGCCAAAAAAAAGAGAGATGTGCTAGGCAGATTAAATCAGGTTTTGTCTCTGCGAAGCTGCTTCCTCTATCATGGTTTTCGCCCGAAAACATCTTAGCCTTTACCTGGTTCCAACCGCTATCAACGAAAGTAATCCCACAGGTTCCTATTTATTTGGAAAAAAGACAAATTAAAACTGTTTAAGAGGTGGGAATTTTGAAAACTCGCAGTCACGTAATTCAACTCAGTGTCCGCCATTTTGACACGCGAGTCACGCGAGTGTTCAGAAGCAATAATTTAACGGCTGATACACTACCAAATACTAATTGGAGCAATCTCAGAAGTAATACAGGCAAACTTTGTATACTTTTGATGATATTTAATTCTTTTTCTCGTTTTCTGAGGTCGATTGCATCTCTGTAAATCCAGGGTTAGATCGCCTTTGACAGTTCTAATAAAACACAATTGCAAATTTGGGCGGTAAGAATAAAGAACGTTTGTAATTTTATCCCAAGTAGTATCATATAACGAGACTGAATTACAATTTTGGCGCAAAACTTGAAAGTTATCGCACTGATTCCTTGAAAATCTTCAAGGTTTTGTTCCCTAACAACGGTACTACTCGATAACGAGCTAAGTGTATTCGTGTGAAATGAAAATGTCTGTCATTTTTAATTGTGGATTTGCAAGAGTTGCTGTAAAGGAGAGCTTTCGTAAGGTTGGAAGTGCTTCGGTTGAAACTAACCCTAGTGAAAAGTGGAAGACCTATCTTGCAGCGTTCGAGGGTGACAGTCGGGAAGTCTTTGCGGTCGAACGTTCCACCTACGTCAAGAAATCCAAAGCAATTTACAGCTCTTTCCGAAAGATGAACTCAAAAGCCAGGGCCCTGGAGTACCAAGACACGTTTTCAATCATGGTAAACTGGAAAGCTCTTTAAATACAGCGCAGAAGAAACAGCACACGCTGTCAAATTGTGGAGGTTGTCAAGTGCACTATTATGCCATCCATAATTTTTTCCCTAATGGAGAAACTTTCAAAACCCGAAAACTTTTAAAAGAGGCCCTTATTGAAAGTGGGGTGAAGACACAAAGTAAAGTGAAACCAACGCAAAAAGCCATTAAAACTGCTGTAAAACACATTTATTCAAAAGTGAATGGTCACGTTGAGAAAATATTTAAAATAAACTTTGCTGAAGCACAAACAAAAGTGAAGGAACTTCAGCTCCAAAAAAAGAAAGACGCAATTGAGAAAAAGCTGCAGCGTCGAGGGAGAGCACGCCAAGAAAAAAATAAAATCCAATGCTAATGTCTAGTCCATCTGGAGGAGGAGTAATGTTTCTAGTTACTTTGCAGTAATTTGCATGCCAAACAATGAGATCTACAATCTTCACCTTTACTTGTGTTGCAATCTAGCATTTATTTAAGCACACTCTCTATAATATATTTGCCTTCATTTTCCAGTTTTTTAAAAGGAATGCAAGTACCAAATAATCCACTGTAAACTTAATCAATCATACTGAACTTCTTCCAACCAATAGAGAGAATATAATACTGGGAGAAGGATCCTATGGTTGATGCTTTCTGAGACAGTACACACCATTTGATATAAAGGTTGTGGAAAAACAGTCCCTGATGCAGGACACCACAGAGATAATGAAGGAGGCTCACATTATGCAGGCACTCGCACATAAAAATATCCCAACCATAATAGGTGTGCAGCTTCAAAAGCAGTCCATTTCCTTAATAATGGAGTTTAAAGGGAAAGACAATACATCTGTAACAATAAGAAAACTATTGTCTTGTCAGAAAAACAGTGCAACAATACAGAATGTGCAAAGCTCACTCATAACAAATGACTGGTTAATTATTTCACATGATTTGACAGAAGCCCTTTCACATATTCACACAAAAGGCTTTCTTCACTGTAATTTGAAGGCTAATAATTTTCTTGTGAGTAACAAACATGGTTACATCATCGATTTTGGAAAAGCATGTGACAGCTCCTTTCCTCCTTCAAAGAATTAATGAAGCCAGTGATATTTTTTCCCTTGGTAAAATTCTGTTCAAAGTAGGTGTTGAGCAAAACATTCCACTTTTGGTTTCCATGGCTTAGGAATGTTTGAATGCCAGCCCTGTAAGAAGACCAACAACAACAGGCATTATGGCAACACTGGCTTCCATAATATCTCACTGCTTAAGCAGGGGTTTCATGGGCCTGACACTGGGCAAATTGACTGGCTGGGAACATAATTTTTCCTGCATGTTGTGACTGACATAAATCAGAATCAAAACATATTTTTCCTGCTTCCTTGTACATTTCCCATCACCTCAAAATCTTAATGAAACCTCTGCTTAAGAAAGTAATAATTAACACTCTAATCAGGTAAAGTGACCCTAGCCATGTCACAGCAGCAGTCTTTTTATTGGGCTTTGCAAGGTTAAAATTACAATGTATGTGCATGTATTTAGCAAGTTTATGTGTGCTCTTGGTCTAAACTAATTTTGTACTTCTGCTTTACAAATTGTGAATGAATTTTAGAGGGGCATTTTTAATAATGCACAGATAAGGTGCTCTAGGGTCCATCAGGTACAAATTACTTCATAGGTCATACTCATGTCTATAATTTTACATGGCTGCTAGATAACATACATGTACCGATTTATTTCCCAATTCCTGCTAATTATTGATCTATTAAATTGAATTTAGGCAAGCAACTGGCAGATCAAACTTAAAATTATAAACCAGAGTTTTAACCAGTTAGGCCACCATAGCCTTCTAACAGGAATATTGACTTGGAAGAGCAACAAAAAAAGGAAGAAATACAATTTTAAAATGTTCCTTTCTGACTTTGTAACAAGGGCAACCTATCCTGCTCTTAAGATGACACATCTTTTATGAGTAGGGCTGAGAAGATGACACATCTTATACCAGTTTGTGTTTGCTCTTGTCATAAAAAAAAACAGTGCCCCACTTGGGGCAACAGTAAGCACCGGTAATTAATCATGTCTTATCAACAAAGAGAGAAGGCTATGGTCAGAATCATATGCATGTATTAGAACTTTTGTGATGCATTTGAATTAAAAGATACTCCACTGGTGTAGTGGGTAGAATATTTACATTCAAATAGACACATATATCAATTACAAGTCCATCATTGACGATGATTGTTGCAATTATTACCGGTCAAAACTTAAAAACCAAACTGTTGACTATAATTAAAACTGATATAACATGATTTAAAAACCAAAAAAATGCCTCATAAATAATACCATTAACATGCTTGTAATAAATTAGTTGTGTGGAATAACTGGAAGGACCTCTTCAAGAAAACAAATAGGGATAACAGTAAATAAAACTGGTTTTAATCAAGTAGATTCCCTTTGGAATCTGCAAGGGCTGGCTGGTTTTCTGTGTGATCGAGTAATTAAAATTATTATTATTATATATTTATAGCAATTCAGTAAGGGACCTCGGAATAAACTAACACACATCAGTACAGCTTTTTTCCTCTTAGTTTTCAAGGGACAATTTATGACAAGACAATCTGCATCTTACATGTCGGCTAACAACTGCTTTGGGGGATTACGTTTGTCAGTAAATTCATCTGCTTCTTGGAGAAATTGTTTCCAAAGCATTCAAAAGCCTAAATTTTGATAAACACCATAAGTTTACACATCATGATATGATAGAGGATTAATCAAGCTAAATTTAATTTCAAAATTGAATGGTATATCCACAATGAAACTTTTTTCTATGCATTTGTTGCAAAACATAGTACTTTTTTCTATGCAAAAGTTAAAAACATTGTAAAACGCTATTGAGCTCTAGAAATGAGCGCTATATTATAAATTCATGTTGCATTGTATTTGCAGTGAAATCAATGAACATGTTGAGAGCGGTGTTTAGAAGTCTTCGTAGGTTCAAAAGGGTTCTCTTTGGCTTTAAGATAGCGATATCATGCCATTTTTTGAGGAAATGAAGATAGCAAAGAAAATGTTATTACCTTCTTTTGATGTCTTCCTCTAGATTGTCGGATTCACCAGCGAAGATGGGAAAAACCAATGCAAAGCCGACACTTCAAAATGGCGGATGCCGTTCACGAATTACGCGATCTTGATTCCAAGTAACTATGGTTACTCGCGCAGTCCACGCGAATTCCGCGAACCTTGCTGGGGGGGCACTGGAGGCGAAAATCATTTTTGACCCAGGCCTTAATTAACCTGAGTATGTCTCCATTGCAGAAAATGGTGAAATTCACAATTTGTATAAAATAAATTCCATTCACTTTTGTTTTTTTTAGCACAGAGTTCGTTTTTAGTAATATTCATCCTTGATTTTCGAACAAAACTGAGGTCTACAAATGTCAACTAAAACTGAGGCTCGTAAGAGTTATTTAATCATTGGAAAAAATACGGCCTCCTTCTTTCAGAATCCTCCTCATCTTAACTCAGCTATCCCTACCTTTAGTTCCTTGCAATTTTTAATCAATGAACTGCTTTTTGTGCAGATTGCCCTTAGATTCATTTTTATTTACAACGTTACAAGCGAGAGAACAGTTAAAATCTCGAAGGTAAACATCGACCAACTTCCGGTTTCAAACACGCGTTCGTGCTCATTCCTCTCTATTACTACTTAAACGTCATTTAAACGAAACCGAAAATGTTAACCTCGCTGTCATGCAAAATGAATAAATTACCACTTTCGTGTTAGAAACCTCCCTTTACAAGTGTAGAATTGTGAACCTAGTAAATGTTGCAAGACTACTGAAGACTTTAGAAGATACACGATTCTTATCACTGACACTGGGCGAAATTCTTCGATACATGATGCTTCTTGAGCACGTCTCGAACATATACATATACATCGTGAAGACGTTGAACAGACCGATTAAGTGAATTGGACGGTACTTCAAGTTACGTGGCAAAGTTTCCAATAAGGTTGAACAGTCCAAAATTTTCTTTGATTCACTACGCACCATCATCCGTGACCAAGCGAAAATGGTCAAGGACAGGATAAATCTTCTGAGCGGACATCCTTCGACTGGTTACCCTGTAGTTGCGGTGATAAAAACTGTCGCCATGTTGTTCGTGATCATCCTGGCAGTTCAGGGCGCATTTCATTCACCATATTATTTCTGCGGATTGTATGGATATTTCGTTGTTGTGAGTTGTGCAAATATTACTTTGGTGAAGATGTGGGTTAGTTTTGAGTGGGTTCTCTGTTTCATCTGGAACCTATTCCCGGAACCGATCAAAGCCATCCTATGTTGCCTTAGTTCCACAACGCTTCGTGGCGTGTTTACTGTTTTTTCATCTTTCTTAGACTGGGCCTCAAATTTGAGAATCGACCGGAGATGTTTTTGGCAACTGTGTTCATTGTGTGGCATAGTAAAAATGACCATACGATGGGTTAAATCAATATTTTGGTGGACTTATTAAAATTCATCGATTTCCGAATACCCAGATTACCTTTCGAGATTGTCGCGTGGACAGTTGCATGTAAATTTCTAATTGGTTTCCTTCCAGCGTCACTTTAGAGGCACTTCATGATGCTAACTATTTTAATAACTTTTGGTCCAGTTTAAAGAAGCAGTAGCCTCGTCGTGGTCCCTATGAAATAACATAACGTATGATTATTGCCGAAACACATATACAGGGAACAAAAGTTTAATATAAGGGCTGGTTTTTCATTGTTTACGATGAACAACGATAGCTTGTAGCCAGTTAATACAATCAGGCTCATAACAGTACATCTTGTAAAGACACCGGAAGATTCATCAACAAATTAGAAATATAATACCCAGTTAAAACTAGCTACCTCTGACTTGACCGTTAAAGTCGATCTGCATTAAAATCAACTCACATTTTCATTCTGTTTCTTAGGGAACAAACCCACAAGAATTGACAGAGGAAGCTTCTCTACAAGAGCTACCGCAAAAGGAGCGGAAATGTAGGATCTTTGCGGTGTTTAATTCGCTTGGTCAGCTAAGAAATCTAAAAGTTGGAAGGAAAGAGGGTTGTTAAAAGTACACCCTCTGTACATAATTTTTTATTCGCCTAGCTTTGCCTCATAGGATTCATTGGGCACCTGTCAAATCATATATTCCACTCCTTCCTCCCCTACCTTTCAAAAACCCGACATAATAACATTCATTTTTTTAGTAAAAGAAATAAGAACTAGAGACATCGTTTGTTCTTGAGTATAAATAAGCCATTTTTATTACTCTTTTTAAGTTCTGACCTGAGAAACTGTTACAAAAAGTTATAACATTACATTTCAGCATTCGTTTTACCTGTGATGTGTATTGTGGCTGTGGGGTTAATACTTGCGTGGATTGAAGGTGAGTAAAATCTTTTAGATATCTTTTGGGAAACATAAGCAGTAGATGTATTAAGGTACTAAAGGTCGCTGTCTAGTCGGTACTGCAGCTCTTGGCTAACAAATGTTAAACCTTCTGGCGGACGTAAAATCGTAAACTGAAATTTTTTGCCCCAGGGAAATAACTTTTTTGCAAAACGGGTCATGAAAAATAATTGAGTTAAGTAATTATGAGTAGGATTTCTTCCTTATCTTCCTTAAACGTGTGGATAAATACAAATACCAGCTACTGCTTGATTCTGACTGTTTGAGAACGAGAAGGTCGTGACAATTTTAATGGAACTAGTTATCGGCGAATCATTGTGGCATCTTAATTGTCTTTGTTCGTTTGGGCAGCTAGAGTCCAATGGAGACTTTCCAGACAGTGCCTTATATCGAATTATGGTAAAGTTTTCTGTGTAACCACGCCTCTTCTCCTGAAAATAAATAGACAATTGAATGTATTTTTCCCCAGGTAGTAAGGGCACGAAGTCGCAACAGAGAGGAAATGGATGTCTGGATCACAGGGAGGCAGGTATTGTTGTCATGCTTATCTGGAGCAAGTAGATTAGAACTATCAGCGATATGCTGATCAAGAACGATCGATCAAGATGAAGAAGACCAAGGTGGTCATGACGATTTTAATGGAATAAATATATCGATAAGTATATCGACAAATCATTGAAGCATCTCAATTGTCTTTGTTCATTTGTGCAGATAGGGTCCAATGGAAACTTTCTGCTCTGTCATGACCGTGTACGCGGGATTAATAATGATTAAATTGATGCGTTCGTGAACTGCACGAGAAATTGTTTCTCTTTTTCAGAAGAGGCGGCGAAAAAGGGTGGAAGTGAAAGTCACAGACAAAGCGCTGCAGGTATAAACAGTTGAACGTACAAGAATATTTTAAAAAGTAGGACAGTACCTTTTATCTAATTATGGAAAAGTTTTCTGTGTACCCACCCTCTTCTCTTGGAAATAGATAGACAATTGCAGGAATGGGCTCCTGACAATTCAACGTATTTTTCCCCAGGTAGTAAAGGGACGAGGCTGCAACCGAAAGAAAATGGATGTCTGATTCACAGGGAAGCAGGTATTGTTGTTATGCTTATCTGAAGTAAGTAGATCTATCAGCGATAGGCGGATCACGAACGATCGATCAAGAACTACTTAGACACATAGCACACTTGTGGCAGCTTCGTGCCCAGATCCTTGCAAAGAGCGGTTCTTTATGTAACCCTCTAGGCTGACCGTCAGGGTCAACATGTAGGAAAAGGGGCCTATAGGTTAGAGTTCTTCTCAGAGAGGACTAAAATGTCCAACCATTCGCAGTTTCCGCTCAAAAGCAGCACACTCTCCTCAGTTATATGATGAAGCTGAGTGTTGGTCTGACTGGGGCTCGTATCCTTGACGACCTTCATAGTAGTCTGACGCTCTACCAATTGATTTAACGAGGCGGAAATCAACAGTAAAACACAGTTACAACGAATTCAGGGGAACTGAATATATGTACCCTTCCTTGGTAAAGAACTGACCCCTGTACCACACGTAAAGGACTTAAGCGTCATACTTGACTCAAACATGTCATTTAATGATCATGTATCTACACCTAGCTTCTCTTTGTTATCCGTACTAGGTCAAATTGATAAAGTACGACACCTTTTCTCTAGAGAGGTACTATACTCAGTTTTGAACTCAGTAGTATTCAGTAAACCGTTTTATTGTTCCACTGTATGGGCTGGAACATCAAAGATCAATCTTAACAAGCTGCAGCTAATGCAAAACTTTGCAGCACGCATTTTGACATACACTAGAAAGTTTGACCACAAAACGCCAGTCTGTAAAAAACTTGGGTGGATCACTATTAAAAAGTTGCTAAACCTACGGGATGTGACTATAAATGGTATATAAATGTTGTAACGGGCTAGCCCCAACATATCTAGTTCAAGGCTAGTTAAAAACTCGGACATTCATGTGTACCGAACTAGATGGAAAAACCCACCCGGGAAAATCAATAAAGTTATGGTATTATAATTATGGTAACTGTCTCTAGGAATTGTTTTAAAGTTCAAGGCATGCAGTGATAAAAGTTTGCATACGAATGTTCTTTCAGAATCACCAGACAACTTGCTTTTCAAACTAAGGGAAGAGTTTCCATGCAGAAGTGAAAGAAGACCTACACACTAATGAAATTTTCCCTTCTACACTGTTTTGAGCAAATAGTTTACTTTAAAGCGTGACGATTCATCCCTTCACATTGCACCTTAGTAAAACTGATTTCAGTCCCTTCAGAAATAATTTTGAATCACTGAATATAGTTTTACCTGCTGTAAATTACGATTCTCTCTTCGTTAATTCCATTCAGGTAGTGTTAGCTAACTAAATACTGATATACAAGCATTAGAATCTGATTATTTGGGGGTTGTCTTTAGTAAATCAATTTGTAAACTAATAGTGCCTATACCTGGTACTTTAGTGGAACTTTGCTCCGCGAAATCATTTTTACAGGTGATAGAAAAACCAGAACGCAAGAAGACGAGGAGAGCGCCAGGAAAAGAAGAACAGAAGGTAATGTACAGTGTAAGAAATAGGCCTAAGTTTTACATTTAATTCAACTGAATTATGGTGAGTTACGGTAATAGTTCTTACGTCATAAACATGCCATTGCTTAATTTGATGTTCCCTTTTACGCTACAACATCGCATCAAATGAAGTCGCAAATAGGAATAACAGTTCCTCGTTTTTCTCTATTTTTAAATCCCTTCAAATGAAGCAACATTTTCATATTACCCTTCACAAACCGCAGCTTCACCCCTTCTTGGTGGTAGTGAGTCTACGCCATACCTCTGGCAGTTTACAGAAGCAGATTACCATACTTGGAAAAATTTCGGCCCCTCTGACAATGTTGTTCTGGAAGCGTTTTCCAGTGACGTGAACAATGTGGAGGTTGAAATAGAACTTGAAGACACCAGAATAAGGTGAATACGTATTTGTTCTCAAACAATAAGGGAAACGTGTTTTATCTGCTCACAAAAGGTACAAACTTTGGTTGCCTTAAAATTAAAGAGAACATCCCATTTAAAAATGACATATACGGAGACCACAGATCACCGAGATGTTCGGCCATTTGATTTGTTTTACTTGGGGGTATAGAGTGGGTTCATTTAGAGAGGAATACTGGCAAAATGAACGTCACAGAAGCTCCACGGAATTCAGTAAATTTCACGGGAAAACTTTATATCTGTAAAATACTTCGGTAACTTCTCGTGCATCCTCTTGCCTCTGTTATCTCGTGCGATATATACATGTGTCAAGGCTTCAGTTAGTTATTATCCTTCTGCGGCGTGATTAGCGACGCAGAATGAGATCAGGGGAAACGGAAAAAGATTGGAATCAGTTTACTGAAGTACCGCAGCCTGCGAGCGGGCTCACACTGGTGTGGCAAAAGAGCAAAGGAGGGAAACGTCTGGTACTAACGTTTGTTTTAGAAACAAGGCGCATTCCCGGCAAGTTCACATTTCTTATCCGCTAAAAAGCGCGGGCCTCACTACTCGTGACGCAGCGCCAATTTTAGCCTTCAAATAGACCAATAGTGCTGCAGCTAACTTACATAACACATTGTAACTCGTTTCCGTTTCTTTTCAGACAATCAGGAACGCTATCAGGAAAGATTTCAGTCAATTTTCAGACAATGTCCATGAGCTTGATCTCCTCCTTCGATCAGTTTTTGATCCGTCGATGCTCAATCCAAGAACTGAACAATAAGTTGGAAGACATCGATGGATGGAAAAAATATGCTGAAAAGAAGGTAAGTAGCGGTAGCTACTACGCAATGGCCCGAGTATGCTTGTTTCGTAATTTGCTTTAATTGTTTATATTGTACAAAAGTGAAATCGCACGGCCTCAAATTTTGTTTTTGTTAATGATTTATATCCCCTTACCTCGATACTTCAATTAGACAAAGGAACAGACTTTCATATGAAAAATATAAGTTTGACAAACAAGATTAAATATAAGCAATGTACATGACACCTTAGAATGAAAATAAAAGTGAAGAGAAGAGAAGTCCTCGGGCTGAAGTTTCATGGTTATAGACGGTCCAAACCTATTACTTCTTGAAACTTCTGTTTTAGCTTTGTTCTGGGAAAAGGCAAGAGCAAATGGAAGCATCGTATCTAAATGAAGACCCTGCTTACCACTTTCAAATCGGTCGGAACGATAACGCCATAAATTTTGAAGGCATACCTATGAACCAAAGGAGTGCAGATTCAGAAGTCCAAGCGGCTCGGCTGGTCAGAGAAAGACCAATGTTTGAAGGAACACTTATGAATCAAAGGAGTGCAGATCCAGAAGTCCAAGCGGCTCGGCTCGTCAGAGGAAGACCAATGTTTGAGGGTACACCTATGAACCAAAGGAGTGCAGATCCAGACGTCCAAGCGGCTCGCTTCGTCAGCAGAAGACCAATGTTTGCTTCGAAGTCAGCACCGCAGACCACAGTGACGTGAGTGAACGCAGACTGTGCTCTAATTATTAGCAAGAGTTACCAATTTTTTTGAAAAGTCGCTGAAAGAGAGATTAGTTCTTTTGTAGGCTGTCCCGGGACGGAACTAAGCTTTCGATCGATGAAAAACCGAAACACAATAATGGCGGTGATAATGATGATGATGGTAATGATGATTTTTATAATTGACAGCCTCCATGTAAATGGATGGTCTGTTCAGTATTGTTGCTTATCATCAGATCTCCATGAACTCGGTTAAAGCAAGTGCACCTTCGCAAGCTTTTTGCGGTTACAAGCAATTCAGATATGATATCATTCATCCTTTTTATTTTGCGACTGACTGAAAACTTGAGGCAGGCTGAATTGTTCGCCTCTGAAACTATGACTTGTTCCTGTATTGATTTTAGTTTATATAATCGTCCTTGACGAAGGGGGGTGGGGAAAAGTGTGTGGGGCATGGAAAATGCTTAACTTGTAGATTTTAGATTCGTTTCTGATATACGTTTAGACATCGTACTAAGTAATACCTCGATGCTTTCAGCAGGACCTAAGGGCTCTGAATCCCGTCTAACCACACCCATCCGTGTTTCCTCGCCTTTGTTATTATTGCAGCAATCCGAAAGGTCAGGTTATGACCGTTGAACGGACTAAGCTAAAAAAGGACAGCGAAGAATACCGAACTGTGAGTCAACGTTTCCGCGAAACAATGCCGAGACCCCAGGCCTCTATATTGATGGTGGAAAAAATAACAAATGATCATTTATTGCAGAAATACAAAAGGTAATTGCTAAGGAAAGGCTAATGGGAGGGAAAAACAATATGCACACCGGAACCTGTTCGTGATTAATTCTGGGTAGTTCAAGGGAGCCTAAGATGTGGACATTAACCAACTCATAAAGTTAGTCTTACAGGTTATTTTCGCCGCTTGGGCAAAATATAATCAGTGCGGGCCAAAATAGTGTTGTTTTGGAAAGTAGACTGTAATTAGCTAAACATTTTTACTTTTCACTTGTTCATCCAGTAAGCGTCAAGAAATGAGAGAGCAACTTAAACCTAGGAGTGAAAAGTTACTGTTCCATGGTACTACATCAGATGTTGTTGATGCTATCTGCACACGCAACTTTGACCACAGAGTGTGTGGGAAAAACGGGACAAAGTATGGGCAAGGAAGCTATTTCGCTGTAGACGCATCTTACAGCAATAACTACAGCAACAACTACAGCAAAACTGAGGATGACGAAACGAGATACATGTTTCTGGCAAAAGTGTTGACTGGAGAATTTATTCGTGGAAAGAAAGACTTTCGTCGACCACCATTGAAGGATCCGAGCAATCTGGCAGGTGATCTGTACGATTCTTGCGTTGACGACGAAAATCAACCGAAGATCTTTGTCATTTTTGATAACGAACAGTGCTATCCTTCGTATTTGATTAAATATTACCTGAAATAGTTTTAGGCATCAAAATCAGACGCATCAAACTACGGTAGAAAGTCGGTCACAAGCGCATTAATAAACAAATTATTAAATAGCCACCAGAATTAGGTAGAATTACACCACAGAATTACATTGTGGGCCATAAAGAGAGAGAAAAAAAGGTAATTTATGATTGATTATACAATATTAAAGGTCAAGTATTTGAAAGATTAAAAATAGATATAAAAAAAAATAGCTAATTAGCAAAAATTCAGCTAAAAAAGTATCTTTAATATTTTTGCAACGCGCGGGGAAAATGTTAACGAACAATTCATTGTTTGCTACTTGAAATGTTTCATTTTGATGTTTCTTATTCAGTAATATCCGCTTTCATCTTGACTTCAATTTTAAACAAACGCTTTCATCGTAGTTAATGTCAGGTTTGAAAATTGGAGAAAATCACTTGGGGTATATCCTCGGATATTTTCCAGTTTTAGATGGGACATTAGTTTCCCAGTTTTAGATGGGCCACGACCACTTGATAGAGGTGAACATTATAGTGATTAAAGGGAAACAGATTCGGAACCTTGAAAACCGACCGCTTAAAAAAGGGCGACCGCTTTATACGACGCCGCTTAAAACAGGTTCAAATGAATTATTAAATTACATTTTTAAGCGAACCTTTGTTGTTGATGTTAATTTCTCAGTATCAGTATTGCAGCGTTTTAAAGTTGTAAGCTCCAAAAGAAATCCATAATTTGCGTTTTATTGGAAGCCCGCCGAAAGGAGGTGATAAGTTATGTTCTAAACTTTCCCAATAGAGTCAATGATGTAATATGACCCTGATACGTAATAACGTCTGGGGCCTAGTTATGTTATAATTCTACTGTAGTTTTAGAGGCTGTTAATTTTCTTTTCTACGGTGGACCCCTCTGAAAAACCACCAAGAGTGATGGAAGTCTCTCAAAATATGTAAATTATCATCAAGATTATTTTTTTCATAGTATAATAGCAATTAGTGGTGCGTTGGTCCTCCATGCCCAGATGTCTAGGCATGAAGGTGCGTTAATGATTTTACAATAATTTCCCTTCGAAGTAAATATCAGCTTTTTACTTTTACAAAGTTTCCGATGGCTTGTGCGCTGGAATCCAGATCGATTCAGCAGTTAGCAGTCAGAAGTCTCTTTCTTCATAGATCAATCGAACCCTATGCGTCTTTAGTCTAACTCATTACGAGCTTTGCTCAAGAAAAGAATTCTCACCAGGGAAGCGTAAAATGATCCATAGGCTTGTCAAAGTAAAGAGAGAGGACTTAATTAGCAATTGTAAGAGAAGTTTCTAGCTTTGAATGTGAAATTAATCAAAGTTAACAGTTAAAATGTAAACAGGCGCGAGGATCCGCGCGGCTTGCGCGTTAGGAGTGCTACGTAAATTTAGGACTCTTCTGCACAATTTTCTCTTTGGAAATAACTACGCATTCATGACATGAATGGCAATTTTCATAAAGGCAGAATGATTCAGCGATAAGAACGGCTTAGCTAAGCCGTAGTGTGTCATGACATTTGGGGATAGCCTGGTCATAGTGCGTGAGATGACTATCAAGTAATGGCCTGTTTACATGGAGGTGGGGGAACCCAGTTAGGTGAGGTAACCCGCCTAGCCGTGGCCGAAAAATAAACGCGTTTACAAGAAATCTTACAACCCCGGGTGTTGGGGTGAGGTTTCTTGAGGTTGTTGTTGCGCTTGCAATTAAGGAGTTTGAGTAGGGGTGTCCCAAGCTCACATCTCGAAAAAGACGAAGGATTAATTCTCGGACACATGTGTATTTATTCATGAAAGTGTCACGCGTTGTGTTACGCGGTGTTTGGTTTCGCGAGTAACCGTTGACTTAATACGTTATATGGAATAGTTTGGGAAACCCGGCGTGTTTTGTCCGTGATCTACAGATTTATTGGTTTGTGACACTAAGAGCGATTGTCATAGTAGCGCTAGCTATCGTTACAAAGTATTTATTTTTTTTAGGGGACTAAAGTTTCATTTTAAAAGCACGAAAGATCATCGATTTCTGTAAAAGTTTTTCGATTGTGGGTATCTAGAGAGAGGAATTTTTGTGGAGCAACTGTTTGGAATTTAAATTTAGAGCACATTCTTCGGGATTTGTTGTGTTTAGGACTAAGAAGGTATGACATTCATGTGACTCTAAGGGAGAAAGTCTACCATAGTTCTTAGGTCATCATTTGCATTTTGCCCTTTGAAACTATTGAAAATTTGATTCACGAATGGTAAATAGAGTCAGAAAACTGTTCTTTTGAATAAAGAAATAGCGGATTTACGATGACTTCTGACGGTAGGTTGGCGAGGATGAAAGACACTATCAGGGATGTATGGAATTCTTCCTGTGGAAATGTTTACCAAACCGTCCAACCGACTTGGGATGCGTTTCGTGAATATGCCTCAGCCACTACAGAGCAGATTAAGATGCATCTTTATTCATTACATGCCGCCTGTGTTGAACAAAAGCAGTTCATTCAAGACAAACTAGATACCCTGAATGGCCGTTCTTCCGCTGGCCGAGCGTTTGTGAGAGCAATATACGTGGTGGCCATGTTTTTTCTGATCTCTGTCGCAATTGAATGCGCTTATTACTCCAGGCCAATTTATTGGAAGATTGTTGGATTCTCTGTTCATCTTATGTACCTGGTTTTCATTTTCATCTTCCAATTTACGTGGATGGTCTTGATGACTATCGGTGTTGTGGCGACAATGAATTTCGTCTTTGGTGGGTTCATCGCCTTAGCGTTACGCAGTTGGTTTATGGAAGGTGTAAATCTCAACTGAAATACATCGCGACCAAATGGCACGTGAACTGACAATTGTTGATACTAGAATTTTGCAATCGATGGAAATTGAGAAAAACGGCATAAGATCGCTCTCAAGACAACAGAAATATATTAGTAATAATAATGATAATAATAATAGTAACAATAATAGTAATAAAAGTAGCAATGGTAAAAAAAAAACACTGAAAACTTTGATCAAAGGTTTATGACTCTAGCGTGACTAATAAGCGATAAATAAAAACATACAGACGTTTTGGTCACAAGCTGTCATCTTCGTAGAACTCTGCTCAGTCAAATTTTACTGTAATTTAGTTTCTTTTTATAGCAAGCTGTCAAAAAAGAAATAAAGACAAAACTTTGGGCGAATGAAAAAACTATCCTCGCAAAAAAACAAAAAGAAGAAAAGCCAGCACACAACACAGAAAATTTGAAGGGCTAAAAAGCGAGTCGGAGGCGTCATGTTTTGCGCGAATTTACTTTCTAAATGTTGCTGGTCGATAAGAGAGTAGAGTAAAGTAAAAACGAACGTGTAAACCGGGTTAGTTTGAACGAGAGCTACATTCTGCACAGGCATATAACCACCACACCGATCCCAACAGCCAAATGTCCCTACGCAAATAAACGTAACGTGACTCAGATGTGGAGGTGACTGTTTGTTCATTCGTTTACCCTTTTGTTTATCTTTTTGCTTGTTTTTTGTTTTTTTTTTTCCTTTACGTATTTCATGGTTAAGTTTATCATATCGTTCACAGTGAACTTGAAGAATCATAAGATTGAACGCCTAATTGTCTTTCGCTTAAGTTTGACTCGCACTGATCTCGTGACTACCTGCCCGCACTTCACGGACGTTTCACATGCATCTCTTGCCGTTTTTATGAATATTTCCAAGGCCAACTAGCCTATTCGCATTTTCTTTTTGGACCGATAACGGTTTGGTTCTTGGGAGTTTGACATAAAGAAATCAGGCCTATCTCGAAGCATCGTTTCCCCCTTTTCCTGAGGCCAATACCAAACATTTACCTTTGACCAGCAGAAATAGGAAACCTGCTGCGCGCGCTAAATCATTTTTCGCTTGTTTCAAACGATTAAGATTTTATTCATTCACGCTTGAGTTATGATCTAAAAAAAAAATTCAAAAATTGAAACGAATAACAGCAAAAAAAAAAAAGACAATTGTCGAGCAAATATCGCATCCATCCAAATTAGTTGGTCTTGTTTTAAGGTGTAACAAAATCATAATTTTTGCAACAAAACGTCTACAAATTTCAGCAAAATTATACACTTTCTGAGTGGAAGAAGAAATAGAAGATTCTCTTGCAGTTTTTTTTTCATCCTGAAGGAAACTTTCATTGTTAATTTACAACGATCTCCCGCTAAAAATTCATTTCTACCTTATTTAACGGATTTAACGCCATGGTTATGACTGGCCAAGGCCTTTCATTTAATTCTGTGCCTCTCGCTCGTGCTGTTAAACTCTGTGGCGGAATCCTCCTAGGTTCAAATTTCTTCGAATCATTTTCAACAAAGTTGTAATGACTCGCTTTTTCTTGCAGAGATGGAATCGAAATTCTCTTTCAAGTTATGTGTCCACAAGCTGGGTATGGCCGGTAAGGATCACTATGTTATGCCGTACCTGTTCCTCTCCTTAATCTTCCAATAAACACCGCATTCCTGCGATTGGGTGCAGTGTTTATTCGTAGACGGCGGTTAGTTGTAATTGACTTCCATCCGCGGTGCTGTATCGAGTAAATAGAGCAACCAGGACTGTTTTACAGTAGACAACAGACCTGACCGTACAGTAATAAAATCAGGCAAAAGATTTTAGAGCTAGGCGGTACAATGAAATTGTTTTACCCGATTTTTTTTTGTAAACATTTGTCAGTAATGTACAAAAACGTGGAGATAAAAGGGTTCGACCCCAGAATGGTTTAGTGAATGCACTTTTACGTCACATGATCATGCAGTCACTTTTCTTTTTCGGGTAGTCTGCTGTTTGCGAACTATGGTACCTCCCTGAAGATCCAGACAGTGTTGTATGAAACAAAATTGCTTCACAAATCTCTAAGCAAACGGGAAAATGCTTCGTCGAGATTATTTGTGTTTGTCGGGCTTCTAATGGTTGATGATCCGCTACTTGCACCTGTTTCGTGTACATTACAGGATGTCATGGAAAGCTTTTTTAAACGAGATTCTTTTCCCTGTTGGTGGGAAGCTCATATTGCATTGCCACTTTTATACTTCTAAATTAACTATTTATCTACCAAGTTTCTACAAACAGTGTTCCGATGCGTGGTCAGAAGTAAATGAAAAAATGCCCAGCTTGCTACACGAAATTGCAAGTGAAATTATTTTGAATAACAAGCTTCTCTGCATTAATAAGAAATCTGTGTATCGTAGAGATATTGCAGATTTAGGGTTTTTTGCGATTTATTTTCAACTAAAGAAATCTCAATCCTGAGCAAAGTTTCTTCATTATGGGTCTATTAACTTTATGCCTGCCAGTTGGCGCTTGACAATTAAAAGGACAACTATTGCACCGGTGATTGATCCACTTCCGGATTCACCTGCTAGTCTAATAAGTAACAATTTGGTTCCAACTCTTGCTTCCTTAAAGCAAATCTACTGGCTTTTCTTGGAGAAAAAACAAACAACGCTTACTGCTAAAGTAAAGTTAGCTGCAAAGTATTAAAACATTGATATTGATTGAAAAAGTGTTTATTCGCTATCTTTTCGCACAACATTAGAATCCAAACTTAGAGAATTTCAGTTGAAAATTTTAAACCGTATTGTCTTTACAAACAAACGACCTGCTCAGGTTTATTAAGGCCTGGGTCAAAAATTATTTTCGCCTCCAGTGCCCCCCCCAGCAAGGTTCGCGGAATTCGCGTGGACTGCGCGAGTAACCATAGTTACTTGGAATCAAGATCGCGTAGTTCGTGAACGGAATCCGCCATTTTGAAGTGTCGGCTTTGCATTGGTTTTTCCCATCTTCGCTGGTGAATCCGACAGTTTAGAGGAAGACATCAAAAGAAGGTAGTAACATTTTCTTTGCTATCTTCATTTCCTCAAAAAATGGCATGATATCGCTATCTTAAAGCCAAAGAGAACCCTTTTGAATCTACAAAGACTTCTAAACACCGCTCTCAACATGTTCATTGACTTCACTGCAAATACAATGCAACATGAATTTATAATATAGCACTCATTTCTAGAGCTCAATAGCGTTTTACAATGCTCTCAACATGTTCATTGACTTCACCGCAAATACAATGCAACATGAATTTATAATATAGCGCTCATTTCTAGAGCTCAATAGCGTTTTACAATGTTTGTAACTTATGCATAGAAAAAAGTACTATGTTTTGTAACAAATGCATAGAAAAAAGTTTCATTGTGGATCTACCATTCAATTTTGAAATTAAATTTAGCTTGATAAATCCTCTATCATATCATGATGTGTATACTTATGGTGTCTATCAAAATTTAGGCTTTTGAATGCTTTGGAAACAATTTCTCCAAGAAGCAGATGAATTTACTTACAATCCCCCAAAGCAGTTGTTAGGTAAGTTTAATTGCTTCTGAACATTCGCGTGTCAAAATGGCGGACACTAAGTTGAATACTTGACTGCGAGTTTTCAAAATCCCCACCTCTTAAACAGTTTTAATTTGTCTTTTTTCTGTAGGATTACTTTCATTGACAGCGGTTGGAACCAGGTAAAGGCTAAGATGTTTTCGGGCGAAAACCATGATAGAGGAAGCAGCTTCGCAGAGACAAAACTTGATTTAATCTGCCTGGCACATCTCTCTTTTTTTGGCAGCCATTCCAAGTGGGAAAACAATGAAAAACGTCTCAAATATTCATAGCGATAACTGCATTTTGATTTGCCTTGTGTTTAGTGGTGGGAATTTGCTCAAGAAAGCAACCGACGAATTTGGCGCCTAAATTAACTGTTCATGGCTGTTGAGAGTATCATATTACGCTGCCACAATTCAGTCCGAGAGAGATGGTAGTGATACACATTTCTGCCAAGTATGAGAAAAATCCCTCGCAAAATAGCTAAGTTATTCTCAATTTTGTGAAAAATATGGGTTAAAGGCAGGGTGACCCAAGGGTCAAGGTTTGTTCCAGGTCTTGTTTGGGACACAGTTTGCTTATTTTTACTCACGAAAGATCCACTCGACTAAGAGGAAGAACCTAGCCTACTATAACTGGTGGGCTTCTTCTTCAAAATCCCTCTAGGGTAAGTTTGAAAGGTTGGAGATGCTGACATTGTAGTTGTTGGTGGTTGTAGTGCGGATGCTTGGGAAGCTTGAGAATGACCACCACGAACAGCGGATCTATAGGCGTTGAGAGCTGCGCCAACTTTATTTGAGAAGGTAGTTGCATTGGTGCTAGCAATACTCGAACTTGATACAGCGGCGGCTGAGTAGCTACTAATGTTGCCGGCAGGTAGCCTCGGCCTAAATGCTGCGATAAAGCTATTAAGGGAAGTTTGAGCTCTTTCAGGTTTCGGCTGGGGTCTTGCTGCGGTATTACTGTTAATGATAGGTAGGCTTGGTTTGGGTACTGTGTTGAGGCTATTAAGAGAAGTGTGAGCACTTACAGGTTTCGGCATGGATCTCACCGTCGTATTTTTTGTGGGTGCCTCCGGCTGAGCAGAGGAATATTGGATTATGTATTCTGGGTAGAACTGATCGGTGTCAAAGACCACAAAGATTGTGGGATTGGACGTGTTATCTACACAAGAGTCGTACAAATCGCTGGCGGGATCTGATGGTTGCTTCGGCGGTGGTCTTCGATAACTGGAGTGACCTTCTGTATATGAACCAACGAGAACTTTGGTCAAGAACATGAATTGAAACATATTGTCATCTCTCTTTGCGTAGGAATGGCTGTATGATGCATTCACTGCAAAATAGCTTCCTTCACCATACTTAGATGCGTTTCTACCGTGCAGACGCCAATCAAAGTTCTGTTTGCAAATGGCCTCCACCGAGTCTGGAGTGGTTCCGTGAAACAAGTTTTTCTCATTGATTGATTCCTGTTGATTCCTTCTTGCTATCAGCCTCATGTTCTGTTTCTTTCTAACAAGAGGAAGCAAAAGGACATATTGTAAGTGACAATAGATAATGGCCATTGCTGATCATTTATTTGCCTCTAAATTCCAATCTTAAAGTGTCCTCACTCTTACCCACAAGAGACCTTCGAGTATTTAAGGAACTTTATTCAGTGCAATATGCATGATTGTCAATATACTTAATAAAATTTCATCTCGAGTGTGCCAAGTGTGCACGTTTCATTCAATTTACCTACATTTAAACATATGAATTTATTTATGGAAGGGAGTGTATTACCGGGAACTAAAACACTCGTAGAATCAATGCGGCTACCACATCCGGGAACTGAGTGGCGTATTTTTCGTATGTAACACGAGTGGTCATATTGAGAAACGACGTCACGATCCCCGCCTTATCTGAAGGAATTTCTCGAAAACTGCGAGGAGACAGAAATAAATGTGGATAAAACTCTGTCGATCTAAAGATTTTCTAGGAATTCTCGAAAGTTGCGACGAGGAAAAGATAAATGTTTGTGCTGAACAGCCTTGAAAGGTTCGTACTCAGAAAAGAGCCTGAAAATAGATGTGTCTGATGATTCATGTCAAAGTCATTAATCGAATTTTTATGAAGATTATTCAAAACCAGTTCACATGCATTTTGACCCAACTGACGGTGTTATATGTGAACCTTTTTATAATTTGGGCACCGGGTATTTTGTTACCACTCATATTAAAGCAAGCTTTTTTTAATTTCTGTCAAGGATATTTATTGTCCATAAAGCAAAAAGAGAAGTACAAATTTTATATTCTCGTGGAACGAGCCACCCGTGTATAAAATTTATATCGTCTCTCCAACATGTAATATCCTCTATATCTAAATTTCTATTAATACTTTGTGCAAGTATATGGCTGAATAATTCTCTTCTCTAATTTTATACATTTTCTTCCAAGTTATATCTTCTTTCTCACCTGCAATACTTCTCCCACATGAAAGGGTTCTGTACACGCTCGATCCTTTCAATTTCAATTGAAATGTGGTCGTTCATCGACTTTCGGAACAATTGCTCAACTTCTTTATATTCCTTTGATGATGTCGTTAACATGACGCGAATATACTGCCCATCGGGTGGCATGGAAGACCAGTGGTTTGGAACGTTATACATGGCTGTTCTGTTTTCTATCTTTCTCCTTCTGGAGGAATCTCCGTAAGCCCTACAAAAATTTGAAAAAGAAAAAAATTTTAACTGAAAATATCATGAAACAAGGTGATCTCCATTTCTTTCCCTTCCTTTCTCGCGCCATGAATGCTTTTTTAAAGTCAAGAACCCCCTGTAACAGTCTTTAGACTGTAAACTGGTCAAAGCGTTCATATTTCGTGGTGTGTGATAGTTTTCGTGGCTTTAGCGACGTTTGTCTTCCATATCATCGCAGAACGGAATGAAGGAAGAGACGGGAAAACTGAAGAAGGAAAAAAAGATTACTGATCGTTTGGATTTCTGCACGCTGACAGCGATAAAACTGTAATATATACATACCATATCAAGTCTTCCATGTCCTCATTTGTTAAAGCTTTTTCGGGTCGTCTTTTAACCGCCCTCTTGGTTCCAAGTTTCAGATTAATTTGATGCATGTTACTTGCTGAATGAAATACCAAATTGTATTCGTGCTCTGAGGTGTTAAACTTGTAATTGGTGCGGCCATCGAGAAAAGCTTTCTCTATGTGGCCCTGCAGAATGCTTCCCTAGAAGAGTATAACACATTTAAGTTTATTTTCGTATTTTATTTTCTCCATAGCCTAGATTAACCAGGTAAGACATTTATTCGAGCTTACCGAATGATCTTTATCGTACGTACGCCAAACATTGCCATTGTCTTCCCAGTACCATTTCCAATTTGTACCCATGACACCACAAGGAAAAGTTTCATAAGCAATGGTGGACAGTCGCCTTAGTTCTCCGGCGAATGAGCGGAATGGTGGTGAACTTTGCAAAATGGACAAAGTCATATTATTAACGTCGATCTTGACTTCATATCCATCGGCAAGAGGACGAATTCCCACTCTGAAATTTATGATCAAAGAAAAAATAAATTCCTGAGGTGAGTTCACAAAAATTGACTTTTCATCCGATGGTCTGTTGTCGGTATGACCTTTTAAGTGTTTTCGAGAGATTTACAAAATTGTCCTGACTCTCCCCAGAGATGGCTTTTCAAACGCGTTAACTTGTTATAGAACCAGTGTTATAAAACTGCTTCATTTTAATCGCTGCTTCTCAGCTTTCTAAGTCAGTTCACATTTTCAAAGATATTTACTACAATATAATTTCTAGGAGTGACTTTTTTCTAATATCTACATATCCAAAAGTTCCATGGCCATGAGCACTCCACTTTTGACCAATTATAAGTCTACTTTACACTAAAATCAAGAGTGAACATTCAAGCAGCGCCAATTTCAGATTTGGATTTCAGATTTTCCGTGGTAAATAGTACGTTTTTTAACTCAACATCAACTTTGTGCGTATATCAAAACGATTTATAACTTCGGGCAAAGTAAAAGGTGGAGGCCACACTATCTTCCTTTACCACGGTGATTAATTGTTGGAACTAACGTCTTGACCACCAACTCCATCGATAAAAAAAAAAAAAGTATTGTGAACCATTTCATTTACTTGCCTTTGAAGAGAGGAGACTTCAAGGGATTGCGCTGGCTTGAAATTAACTGGCGCCTCGACATTCACGTCACAGTAGAGCTTCTCCAATGCAAAGTTGTCCACGTCACCAAAACTTTTCCATTCATCGGACGTAAACCATTTATACTGCCAGTGATACGGCTTAGACAAGTGATGTTCTGGGCATCCTGTGCCTTTTTTACATTCGTCAATAAGAAATCTTGAGCAGATGTAAGCATCTGGCTTGTCCTTGTGAATGTGTCCTGCGAATGTGATGCACGGTGATGAAAAAAAAAATGTTCTAATGAGTATAATGAATATGAAGAACCATTTAAATTAATATTAATCGGTAAAACACTTGATTACATCCATTTTGTAATTGTTTGTGATTCTTGCGATCTGATTGGCTCTCAGCCATAGGATTTATTCGCGAATCACACCATTTTTTGTTCTAAATCTCATCTTTTTCCAACCTAAGGAGAAAACCAACACTGACAACAAACAACCAAATAGATTTCAAGGCAAAGTAAATGGTCAAATTTCTGGAAATAAGAGACAAGAAAATCCATCATATGGCGATTTTTGCTGCTTTTGTCCGCAGACATTTTCATCTTCCTTTTTTTAGGAAAAAGGATGAATTTAAGTACTTACAGGTGTAGTAAATAGAAGCAAAGAAAGCGATAATTGAACGACGTGTCGTGCACTGTTTGTCGAGAATTATATTTAGGATTTGAAATCACACGTAAGATTCTGGAAAAACCGTACTCAACTCAATACATTTATAATCAATTTTCTCACAATATAAGCACGCTAAAACGAACCACTTAATTTGGACTTCTCACGGGTCGCTGTTAGTATATAAAGAGGAAGAGTCCAAACAAATACTGACCCTTTGCTTTCTCTTTGCCTGAAAGACAAAGTTTATCATCAAGTATCATGGCAATTGCTTCAGCTTTTCCAACATTGTGTAACAAATAACGCCCAAGAACTGCCTGAGTGTGTTTGGTATCCATCGCTTCCTCATGATCCAAGCCGCATTCACTTTTAGCACTGCAACACTTCCTGATATGACCACAACACATGTGAATCCTGCTGCAGTCGTCACCACGGTTGCAAACACCATTGTTGTATTCCACACAAATCTGAGGTGTTGAAGAAAGAACGAGCTGGTGGAGCTGCTGTTCGGTAAACTGGCTGAGCTTGATCCTGGTCAGAAAGGCCTCGTCTCTCTGATTGTGAAAGTGGTGATTTAGCGAACATGTTACGCCATTGCTACAAGAGTCAGTGACAAAATCTCTACAAATATGCAGAAATGAGCAGTCAGATCTATGGCATCTTCCGTTCTCATTGTAACTCACACAAATGCGAGCTCTTGCAGAGAAAGCCCTAACTCCTGTAATCGTTCCTTGGCTGCCTCTGGTTATCAAGAAGCTTCCCTGGGTCATTTCACGAAACCATCTTACGGCGCTGTCTACTCCTTGAGGAAATAAATCCTTTCGCCCTGCAATATTTTGGATAGAGGCTGATGAGCCATACTCTTTGCACAGACATTCGAATACTCTCCACTCGGTTAGAAAACAAGGGGTCGAGGGAACACTTCGAGTTTGTGAATTAACAGCAGTACTTGTTGTCATCATGTTAGATTTTAAACGCGTTGTTTCCGGTTCACTTTCTGAAGGTACACAGTTGATGGAGGCTGCTCTTGGCATTTTATGGTTTAGTAACTCATCGACTCGCTGTTCCTTAAACGCTGAGACACTGCTCCGCATTTTGCTTAAAATAGTTTCTCTCAGTTGATACCTCTCGCGTAGGGTTTTGAGCGACTCAGGCATTTGAGCGACTCGGGCATTTTTCGCTTGGTCGATTTCCTCTCGCACCACTGAGAACGGACGTGAAGGTCGGTTTTGCTCCCTTCCTGGATCAGAATTGACAACAGCTGTGTTGATGCGCTTCTGTTCCTCCAAAATCAAAACATTGCATCGCACAAAATTAATGTTTATTACTTGACTGGATGGTACTAAGTCGTATTTCTCGAGAATCATGAAGTTATGAGAATCCTTCAAGTCATGTGACAAGACACAATTTGAATGTGACGATTCTTCAATAAACTGGGCACAAACATGAATATACGGACATTGACTCCATGTGCATTCATTTCTTTGATACAACTCGCAAACCTGTGGCAAACTCCAGGATACAATTTTCTTCATTGCCCCGTTTGAATATTTATCTTCAGGAAGGTTGAGGTCTTCCGCTATTTCCCAGTTATCGTCGCTGTAAAAATCATGCGAAAGGTCACAAAAGTCGTCACATCTCCCTTCCACGAAAGTTTTACAAATGTGCCAGTATTTGCAGTTACCTTGCTTACGTCGTCGAAAGCGACAAATGCCTTTAGTCGCATATCGATAACAAACTTTCTTTCGCAAATCAACTCGTACACCAACGATTTCGCCATTTTGATCTTTGACGCAGGCGAACCCAGCCCGAGGTCCTTGACGACTTTCCAACCATTTCTTGGCTGATTCTTCGGATTTTCTGCTTCCTAGAGGCGACGATGATTTCAAAAGAACAGTCAAGTCGACAAAACCTCCGCTACCGCAAATGAAATTGAAGAGTTTAGTTTGCAAAACGTGGTCATCTGCCATTTTGTCTTTCAATGTCACAAAGATAATTACTTTTCCCGGAAACGAAACTGGACTGCGGTTTCTCAGAATTTCTCAGTATTGTTCCTGAGCGGGGTATAGAAGGGGAACAGTTTTTCACTACTTTAACATGTACATGAAATTCATCATACTAACGTGCAATTTTCCGTCTGTTAAGTCAGCGACACCGAAATGACTAACGCTCAGACGAATTAATTCAAGAAACGTCAACTGTTCAATTCGATCTGTCCGTAAATTTAACATATTAAGTTACTTTTAGACTGTTGCACCACTCAAAGCGTTAAGTCTAGCATGACCTTTCATTTACATTTTGTGTCAAAACGGGTAACGCAATTCCAAAGGTCAAAACTATGTCTCTTGCTCGATATTCACGCTTCGAAAAAAATGTTCGACGCTTTCCGTCACACGAAACAGAATTTAGGCCCTCGTTTAATGTCAAACCTCGTCAAATGGAAGTGAACACCACAGAACGGTTGTTTGAAAGGTGTTTTGTTGTTCATGGCAAGTGAAAGGATGCACATAATTAATGCGCTGGTGAGAATGTTATTTAAATTAACAGATGCACAATATTTCACTTCGATAATTTTTTGCTGTGATCAGATTCATGACCGACAGGTTTTCATAAATGGTTTCTATCGTTTAAAAATCGCATAGGAAATCTAAGGAGTTCATTAATACTCGAGTTATGGAGAGAGGGTTAAACCCAAAGAGGCTATAATTCATAAATCAAAACAGCAAAAACACAGGCTACACTGAAACTGTCGAAGCATGGACAACGACAAGACGTCTCAACAGAAACCCGCATTGTCCTACAAGAATCTTCCACATGTAATGATGAATTCATTCCACCGGCTTCGAACAGGCTCACAGCGCTGCATTGAAGCCATTATTGCCATGATTTCATCAATGGTTAACTTCTTCGTCGCAATTTTCGAAGCAATATCCGTCGCTTATACACAAGTAGGCATAACGATTGTGTCCATGGTCGACTGGGTTCGACAGATGTGTTATTACGACTACAAACAGTCTATGATGTGGGTCATAACTTTACCCAAGCGTTTTTACTCAAAATGTGAAGAGGAAACCAGAAAACATGTTTGGACACCGATTTCCCAAGCGTTTTCACGTAAAGTAAATCGTATTTCTAGAGTTTTAAAAGCGAAACTGCGAGAAAGCGAAGTATATGTGAGGGGCTTTTGCGAACTCTGTCGAAGGCTGTTTCTTCTCACAAGCGATTACACTCCAGGCGGAAAGTACACAGTCACAGCGATCCTCGCGATCATCGCCATAATCTTCTTTCTCAAAATTTTGACGGTTATTCGATTTTTATTTCAACTTTTGGAGCTTACTTATAGTATTGCTGCATTCCTGCTGCACCCGTTGTTGCAAACACTACACGACGTTTTGTTATTATGTGACCCTTTACTTCAGATTATCACCTCCCTCCTGCGTATCATTATCTACGCAGTCTTTGCTATCTTTAGAGCAGTCGGAATTTTTATCTGGCTAAACCTTGTCTCCATTGCATCAGGTCTGTACAGGTGTTGGCAGATCTTTATTAATTCTACAGTAGTAAAACTGTTATGGAGTTTATTTACAAAAATGCTTTACGCACTTTTGGAGTATTTCATCTTCGTAATTGTGCCCATTTTGTCGAAGGCAACATACTACTTTGCGGAATTTTCGTTCGACATATCTTCGGTTGGTTACACATGGTGTTATCCATGGCTTATTCGCGGCTACATGGAAGAGCAAGTAAAAGGCGAACAAATTGATTTTTTCACCCCAACTGGAGTTGGAAGCAGTATGTTCATTTTCTTGGCATTTCTGATAGCTTATAGATATCGCAATCGGCTCACTGGAATATTTTTCTCAGAAATTGATGGGAAGCAATGTGTCATACGATCATTAGCTGCATCGAAAGAGGATCGGAACAAAAGGGATAATCAACGGGAAAGAAGGTCTACCTCTCGGAATACGACAAGTTACGAAGGCTCACGAAGAAAGACGACGAACGACGAGTTGAGCCTTCGCAATCGTGGGAAAGCGAAAAAGGATGACTCTACGGAGCATACGTCTGAGAATGTAACTGAAGGTGAGGAAAATTTAATTGTAACTAACCTTACTAAGAGACATCTCTTGGTTGTCCGAGCGCATAGCTGGGTGAGGGATGGGGTGGGGGGCGAGGGTGAAGGGAGGGGCTCTTACAGGTGCATAACTGGAAGAACCTCTTGCAGTAAAATGTTGGTGTAGGACCGTTACAATAGAGAATCTTAGTCTCTCCCCCGAAGTCGGGCTAATCTGATGTCAGAGATAAAAATCAGTGTTAGTAAATAAATGATATTGATCAGTAAAGTCAAAGATGAAAATAAGAATTCCCTGAAAGATTCCTGTGCATATTTTTTCAGGGCACATCCACCAAAACTCGCAGGCCCACATCTGTGCCGATTACATAAATGGGACATGTCAACAGAGAAGCAAGTGTGACGGCCACCACTGTCCCCTCCCCTATCACTGGCAATATCGCATGTCCCTAGAGGGGTGGAGAAGTTTTAGTGAAGAAGACAACAGGAAGATAGAAGAGTTCTTTTGTGATCCAGCGAACGACACCATTACTTCAACAGAGATAGACATAGTAGTCAAATCTTACAGGGAAACGTAAGTTTAAGTGTACATGTACAAGGGCTGCATAATCGCAAAACAATTTGATTTCCATCTTGTGCGTACCAAGCGCTCTACCCTCCTACGTTGGTGAATTAACTTTGCAGGAAAAATGCCATGTCCTTTTTCCACCTAACCTGCTTTGTAAATAGGGCAATTTTCAATTGGGTGTCAAAATCAATTCGTGATTGCATTTGTTTTGCTCTACTTCGTTCTGAGATTGATCCCCAAAATCCGTGCCACTTTCTCAACCGATCAGAAAACTTAATCCAATCACGACTTGGTTTCGGTCTCGGCGTTTTCCCACTCATAGGGTAATTTGGACGGTTTTCCTTTTAAGTTCTCATCAAGTTATAATAGGTATTTTTCTTTCTTCTCATTGGCCGTTTTGAATACTTTGGCTTGATTTTACGACACTCAATATAAAAATGTTTTAACCCACAGGATATGTTGGGGTAGCTACCAGTGGTCTCCCTAGGAGAAGTTGTTTGGTTTCGTCACGCAAAGCGGAAGAGATGGCGCTGCGTGATGGGACCCAACAACGGCTGCAAAGGAGACTTAGCTTCCTACTGCGATAATTCAAAACAGTCACAACGATTTATCTATAATTTAGACATTCCAGCACAGTCTAACTCATGTGATTTACGTGTACCTTTCTTAATGCAATATGTAGATATAGATCGCAAATCAAAGACACCGTAAAACTTGACTTTGAAAGCATGAAGATACAAAAAAGTTATCATAGAGCAGACATGAGAAGACTGACTACAGACTCGTGCATCAAACAACAAGGCAACAGTCTGGACACTCACTGGCTTTGGTATAGAAAAGAGGAGAACGGCGACTGGGTCAAATATGGAGAAGAGGTATAGTCCGAAAAAGGAAAAACTTAGCTTCGGTTATGACAAGAGTCGCCTAAGTTAGGTGGTAGCTACAAATTCACCTTTCGCCATGTTAGAACGAGCGGGCCGGGAGGACTGAGGCTATTACACGAAGTCGAGGTTCACTCAAACACTTCCTAAGAAAATCACTAGCAAGAACAAATTTATTTTTGAAATTGGTGTCGAACATAGCGAGGCGATTAAGAGAAAATTTAGAGTTGGCCCTTTCACAAAACTTGCTTTATACCTATCGGCCCGACACAGCACAAAATCTCATGACAAGCACTTATTTCGACATTTAAGCTTATCCAGGTCATAATTTCCTTCTATTTCAGAACGATTCAGATGCCAAGCAAGAAAATCTTGAGACTGCTTTTCTTCGAAAAGACGGAAATTACAATTTCACCAGAAATGGACAGGAATTTCGTTTACAGTTCTTCATGAATCCCATGTGTGAAAAATCTTTCAGGCCATACTCGAAGAAAATCGTTCGACGTCGGCCAGAATTCCGATCCCCTGATGACATTCGAAAGCTTACTAAAGGGAATGAAGTCCCAAAACATTCCTGGTTTAGTCTAAGGAGGGTATTTTGGTGGCGTTAGACAGTGCTTTGAAAATGACCAGGCGTGTTTACACCACCCAGTGTGACCCGAATGTGTTGCTAAGAAACACGAATCATTCATACTAGCAACTTGTAAAGTAGATACGAAAATACAAGAAATTGATTTTCTTGAAAAGATCCTCGACCTTAAAGTAACATGCCAAAATTTGAACAGAGGCTCAGGGAAAAACTACCAAAGAACGAAAATTTTCAGTTTAGATTATTTGATTAAGGCACATTTTGGGAGCTTGTTAGGAAAATTCTACTCAGTACAGCAAAGTTCCCTCACCAGATGACGTTGAAATTTTCTCATTGGTACTGACTACAGGGAGAAAATTTTCCTTGACAAACGCTCGTGTCTAGCCAGCACAATACGCGCCATTTTTTTAAATTATTATTTTTATTCAGGCGAGCGGAGGGCGCGTGACGCTTGTCAGGAACAACTTGCTGGTGAGAGTACGGTTTTACCTTTTAGGCATGTACAGCAACAGTCAAAAACTGTTGAGAAATGGTGATTTTGCAACTCACAGAGGACTTTTTAAATTTTTTCTTCTGTATGTGATAACGTGCTGAAGACAAATTTAAGTTCGCTTTTTCGGTTGTTACCAATGCCAAGCCCATTGGTTTGTTTACTTAAAAACCAATAAAATAGGTTGTTTATGACTTCTGGTTCTTTTTTGTTGTTTGGTAGCAATGGAAGGGTTTTCATATATACACGTACGAAAAGAGTTACCGATGAAAAAGAGGTCGCTAAACTTGATCAAGGCAAATCATAGTCATAATAAATTATGCGCGGAGTTGTTTGACTGATATAAAAATAAATACAATACCTATTTCAAACCTAGAAGTCTTTCAAAATCTGAGGGACTTCGTTTTTTCACTGTTGTGTATTTACAAAGGTTGAGTGTTGTTGAATCTTCTGTCACTTACTCCTTGATAATGTTACATTGCAACTTTTTACATAACAAATTATTTTTTCTTTGTTGATGCCCGAGTTGAGGGCCTTGTCGATTGCTGGGAAGCTGTTCGTGGAGGCTGAGGCGTCTGCGCCTGCGCAGTGGAGGCTTGAGAGGTGGGTCGCTTTGACATGCTAGTGCTGACCGGTCTGTCCGCAGGTGTCTGAGATTCCCCTGCCGATGTCGCACTTGCGCGGGACGCTGACCGTTCAAGGGCTCGTATTTTTCTAGAGCTTGTTTCAGGTCAGTTTCAGCTTGGATAGCTCGCTCTTCGGCCGCTTGGGCTCTCTCTTCTGTTTCCCTGCGTCATTCAACAAAAAAAATGTAGGCAAATGAACACATTTTCCTATCGCGGATTTGAAAGTTCTTCCAATTAATTCCATATTTTTTTAACAAAACTGCGACCGAAAACTAGCTCAAGTGATCTTGTTTCAATTCTCATCAAGGTAACACACTGACCCCGCAAAGTTTCCCGCTCTCCTCCGGTTAATATCAACAACTTGTCTTTGACTTATTTCAAATCTCATGGGAATATGAGTTGTGGGGACCTGAGACGAATAGATGAACCGCCGGTGCAATTGTGATGCATTTTTTGCGCGCCGACGCGCGTTAGACAACAAACGCGAGTTAGAACAAGACGAGTCATCGTTGTGATCAATTTGAGACGTGAAGCAGTCAGAAAGGTAACACCGAGGACGGCGTCCATGAAAATAAGTTCTAGTTTTCTTAAAAAATTCCCCTTCCCGTCCTGACTACGTGCGTTAGAACAAGACAAACTCTCACCGTTGCAATGTCACATTTTATGCGTGCGCACGTGTTGAAGAAGACAAACTGTCATAGTGTGAGCACGCGCGTCAGAGCATGACCAACCGTCATCGCAATTATGACGCAATTTGAATCGCCTAGACCGAGGACGCCAACATTCACTTTCTGTTTGGGGTGTTTTGCAGCAATTTCAAAAGAGTTTAGAGAATACGCTTCAAAACTTTTGGAAAGGACCATGACTAAAAAGGGCCAGAGACAAATCCAGACTTTTGCATGAAGGTAAATGACGGACAATTTACAGAGTCTTTGCAGATATTACACGGTCCTTTGAGAAAAAAAAATTAAGAGAAACAACTTACAGTAGCTGTGCTTGAAGTCTTTCTACAGCAGCGAGGGCTTCCAGAGCCTTCTTAGTATCTGGTGACGGAGAGCGAGCTGAAGGAAACATGGCAAAACATCTTTATCATCATACTGTTTTTGCTTGTAAACAACGTGAGTAAACCCAAGTCTTCTTCTCTACTAATAACGTTCAACTGATCGTTAGATAATTCTAAATATGTCCTTGACGATATGAAAAATTTTTTGTTTACTCGTAAGGTTTCCAACAAATATTTCAAAGAGAGCACCACATTCGTATCTAAATTAAAAAAAAAAAATGCACTCACCAGGCAATTGACCTTCGCCTTCAGGAACAGTCAGCAGTTCTAACTCCTGTCAAAAGACAAATAGAGCAAATCACATCACCTTGCAAGGATGTTATACTTGTGTCACTGGACTACCAAACTTGCATCTATACTTTTTTCTAGGCAGGAAACCTGTGCCATGCCGAAACAGTTGTCATTGCATTGACTAGATACTGGCTCACTTTTGTTTTTCCTTTTTCTTTTTGATGGTAGAGACCTTGTGCTCTTTGGCCTGAAAATGCCTAACAATGCATAATTTTAGCATCATCTTTGCCTGACTATTACGACAAACCAACATATGTTTTTGCCAACATAACGACAAAAAAAAAATAAGTAAAATAAACCAGGAGATTACGCCTGATTAAGACTACAAAAACTTTCCATATACGTGCTAATTCGAGAAAACGTAGCTTGATTTTGGTCACTGCAGTAGTCGTCACCCAGAAATGGAAAAACGAATGGTTAGCAACAAAATATTCACTACTGTAATATTACTGTGCAAAAAAGTACCTGGTCTGGAGGAAGCTCCTCGAGAGACTTGGTTCTTATATTATCATCATGTCCAAGCACGTGCATCCGGGATGCGTCCTGTGCTTGGTCTGGCCCTTCGACAAGAAGAGCTTCATCAGGCCCCTTTCCAGACTCCTCCCCTTTTGTTTCCTCGCTGGTGTCTACAGCAGGTTCAGTAACATCAGATGAGTCAGTAGTTTCCACAGGTGCTTGTTCTTTCGCTGAGTCCTCCTGAACTTCAAGAACAGCTCCAAGTTTGTCAGCGTCTTGTTTTTCTACTTCTTTCACTGGCTCTGCTACCTCCACTTTTTCAATTTGCTTAGTATCGCTATCTTCAGCCTTAAAGAAATAACCGATTTACATAAGTGTGCAACATTTATTAATACAGAGCTTCAATTTGGTAGAAGATCGGGCTTAGCATCGAGTTCTCTGTGGCTCGATGATTGAGCCTCGAACCGTGAATTCTGAAGGTCCGAGGTTCGTATCCCTGTTTATTTCTGAACATTCGAGACTAAAAAGAAAGATCTTTCTTAAACTATAACTTTTGTTGCACCCAAACAAAAATCCCTTCGAACGTCTCTTATTAACCCATGCGAAAATATCTGAGGGCAAAACGAGAGTTGAAGTTCAGTAACCGTATCACTTGACCACACAAATAAAAGAAAGCCAAAGAGAAGAGACAAGATTCTATTGCGTCATAACACGACAACGTAAAAGCAAAAACACGTAAATTATTTCAATGTTACCTCAGTTTCAGTGACTTTAGAATCCGTAGACACCGCTCTATCAGCCCCTTTCTTCGTGTTCGCGGAAACAT